GAGAAGCAGAGATCATCTCGACCGGACTGCACTGAGTGAGGAGGACAGTTGCCTGCCCCCCCCACACACAGGGCCCTGGGAGCCCTGGGAGCTTCGCCATGCCCCAGCTCCAAAGCCAGGTGACCCAGGTTACCAGGCTGAGAGTCCAAGTGGAGGGGTCCTGGACCCCCCCACGCCCCCAGAAAGAGGACGCAGCCCTTCTCTGCAGCCAGCTCCCCACCATCCGATGGCCAGTACAGTGGCAGCCCTCACGTCCCGGCGTCCTGGGAGGAGAAGCCAAGGAAAGGAGGATGTGCGGCCCTGAAAACTTATCTCAGGAACCTCAAGAAATCTGTCCGGGGAAATGCCACGGGACAAATGCGTGCTCCTCCCGCCTGTCACTGAGCAAGAAGAGGACAGGGATGGGGACATTTCCCTGTGGGCATCATGCTACACTCGGTGGGCTGGGTCCTGGCCCCACCACGGGCCAGCAACATCGGGAGCCCGTGTTCGCAGGGCGCCCCTGGGGCACAGGATTGTTCCTGCGGTATGACAGGGACAGATCGGCGTGTAGTCTTGAGGTCAGAGGCGCACCAGCAGGCCGGAAGTGGCCAGGGACAGAGGGCCCTTCCAGCCCCCACCATCTGCCATCTCCCACTACTAAGCTTGGTGTCCCCGTGTGTCAGAGCAAAAGGGCAGGCTCTGGACCTGGGGAAGGGGGCTCCAGAGAGGGCCCTGAGGAAACTGCCTCCAGGGAACCATCCCGGCCAGCCGTCACCTTCCACCTTAGAACCTGGAGGTCTGGTCTGGTCACCTCCACCCCCAGAGATACCTTGTCCAAACTGGAGCTGATGCTGCCATTCTCACTCTGAGAATTGAGTCTAGGGTTCTGCTGGCCAGTACCTGGAGCAGACCCTGAGCTGCCCCCAAACCTTGCTCCCCGAGGAGGAGCCTTCTCTCAGGCGCCCTCAGGAGGACAGGCTGCCCCAACGTGCCAAAGCCCACAGGTGTGGCCTCCAAGAGCCACAAGACCCAGGTCCCACCATCACCAGAAGGACTCCAGCACCTGGATTCACTCAGCTGACCATCTGCAGCTGCTTCCCATGTGGCTTTTTCCTATTAATGGAAATGCAAGACCTACCGGCTATAAAACTTTTGACCAAAAGTAGAAAAACTGTGTCTGTACCTAGACATGAAATAGAAACTAGAAATGTCTCAAAGACTAACTATATTCGATCATCTAATACAGTTTCTAAAATTTCTCACAACGAGATGCATCTTCTTTCAAACAATCCATCATGGACTGAATATTTGTGTCCCTCCTCAGACTCACATATTGAAACCTGATGCCCAAGATGATGGTATTAGGAGGTGGGCCGTGCAAGGAACTTAGGTCTTGAAGGTAGAGCCCTCAGGAATGGGATTAGTGCCCTTATATAAGAAACCCCACAGGGGCTTCTGGGTGGCTCAAACACCCGATTCTTGGTGTCAGCTCACATCATGATCTCAGGGTCAAGAGATCCAGCCTCATGCCGGGCTCTGTGCTGGGCATGGAGTCTGCTTAAGATCTTAGGATTATTTCTCTCCCCCATTCCCTCTTCCCTCAACCCCAAAAAAAGAAAGAAAAAGAGACCCTAGAGTTTCCTTGCTTCCCACAAGGACAAAGCAAGAAGCTGGCAGTGTGCAACCCAGAAGAGAGCCTTCCCCAGAAACTGACCTTGCTGACACCCTGATACTGGACTTCATCCTCCAGTGGAATTAAATTTCTGTTTATAAACCATCCAGTCTGTGACGCTTTGTTACAGAAGCCAGACCGGACTAAAACACAAATGGAATTATATACACACACACGTAAATACAGATTTTTTTTTTTTTAGCCTCAAAGTTCTTTTTTATTTATCATAGGGACTTGTAGATTACTAATGCCACTGAAAATTGTTTCCACACTGAGATATAATACAGTTACTCAAGCAAAGCGCACTGAATTTAAAAAATGAAACACATCTCAAGCAACAATATGCAAAAAATACTTATACTTCTCAGGCACTAGCATAGCCCAGAGGTGAACAGGAGTCCAAGACCCTGATTTCTTCCTAAAGACATTGATGAGTGTGACTTCATTTTTTCCGGGATGATCCATCCAGAGTTGAATCATTTCATCAAAAGAAAGAGCATTCCCCTGATTAGATAAACTCCAAGCACTCAGCACACGACAGGAGGAATTTTCTAAAGGGAACAAGCCCTCCTGATAGATGAGGGCTCCTGAGCACATGCTCGGTTCTTCTGAAGTAAACGTGTTGGCCATAAAAGTCAATAAACAGACCTTCTACAAGGCACATGGCACTTTCAGGGCCCAATCGATTTTTTTTTCCTCAAGAATTTTCAGATCTAAATTAATTTTTAATATACTGACCTGAAGTTTCCAGCTGACTTCAGATGAAACTATCAGATATGCCTTCACTTTAAGGTATGCTGGGAGAAATAAGACAGGTACAGCATTTCACCGCCAGGAGCCCACACAGATGGAGAAGAACACCCAGTAGCCTCGAGCCACTGTGTAGAAAGCTGGGAGTTTGCAGAGCACTACGGAGATGGGGGGTTTGCAAAGCACTACGGAGATGGGGGGTTTGCAGAGCACTACGGAGATGGGGGGTTTGCAGAGCACTATGGAGATGGGGACCTGCCCGGGGCTCCCTCTGCTCCGCCCAAGACTCCTGCCCACAAGGCAGATAAACACAGCAGCAAAGAGTGGAAAGGGGGTGGAGGACACTCTCGTGCACAAGCACATGTGACACGATGACCTACTAAGAAGTATGTACTTGGTCTTAGTTTCCTTGGAATGTCAGGGCTGACAACCGTGCCTTTTGTGTGCTAATGAGATGACTGGTGGCTGGGGGCCCCTAGATAGCTTGGGGGTGGGAGCTGGTCACCCTGAAAGACTGAGGCATGGTTAGAGGATTGGAACTTGTAGCTCCCTCCCCGGCCTCCCCCTGGAGATTGAATTAGATCATCACTAGCCAGTGATTTAGTTAACTGTGCCTATGTAATGAGGCTTCCATTAAAACCCTTTAAAGCACAGGTTTGAGGAGCTTTGGGGCTGGTGAACAGGCTGAGGCGCTATTAGGGTGGCATTTCTGGAGAGGGCCCTCTGGGCACTTTCACCCTACACCTTGCCCTACACAGCCCTTCCACTGGGCTTTTCCTGAGCTGCGGCCTTTAAAACAACCTGGTACTAGTAAATAAAGTGCCTGCCTTCATTCTGTGAGTCCTTCTAGCAAATTTTTGAAGGAGGGCATTGTGGGCACCCCTGACTTTAGATCGGGTCTATGAGAAGTACACAGGTGGCAATCGGGGACAGGTCACTGACATCTGAGGTTGAGGGCAGTCCTGTAGGACTGAGCCCTCACTATGAGTGGGGGGGGCTGCACTGACTCCCCAGGGGTTTGTTCAGCATGGAACTGAACTCAACCAGACCAGGTTAACTTCCAGAAAGTCGGAGTTGTTAGCAGGGAAAACCCCAAAACCAAACCAAACCAAACCCCATACATTTGGTGTCAGAGGTACCGTAAGTTAAAGAATAGTTCAGAGCACACGTGGATCAAACTCACCTACGCAGAAACTGTCAAGGTCAAAACTGTTCAGGTCAAAACTCGGCAGGTGGCAGCCTGTCCTCAGGAACCCAAGCCCCCTCTGGCATTGGGAGGTGGAGGGGAACCAGGCTGCGCCGGTGGAGGAGGACAGAGCCTCTCCCTCCGAACCCTCCACCTGGAACCCAGGAATGAAGGCCTTGTCACCTCCTCTGTCCCACCTCTTACAGAGGACACGACCTTGGCCTTTATTTTCAGTCCCGCCTTGGGTTTCCCCAGTCGCTGTGAAATCCCAGAGCCTGGGGACTGGGAGTCTCTGCTTTCCCAGTAACAAAGACAGGGCCTGACCAGAAAAAGGCCTCAGTGGAGTTTGATGAATCATGAAAAATGAAGGACAGAAGTGGCGTGTTCAGGGGATGAGGGAGCGGGAGGAGAAAGCTGTCCTCCAAGCCTCAGAAGAATGTTGCTTGATTAAAAAGAGAAATGGTCGTCAAATCATTAGTGTCTGAGATTAATGAAATAATTGTTTGAAGCCATTCAGCTCTGGGGTGATTCTTTTTCCCCAGAGCTGTAGAAGCACCACGGATCCTGGTGTCCAGAAGTGGGTGCTAGGGATGTGCAGGCCTCCGTCAGCTGCACTGCACCCCCCCCCCCCCCCCAGTGCAATGCTCGTCTCTTCTCTGGCCTCACCGATGGGATCTCACATGGAAACACACCTTTTATTCCTGCAGGGAAATGTTCTTCCTTCCAGGGAGCTTCTAGGCGTGGGAGGGGTGGGCGGCAGGTCCCAGGGCAGGAGGCACCGGAGCACCAGGCGCGGAGGGCTCCCGAGGGAGGCAGGCCCCGGGGGGCACGAAGGCGCCCGTCCCCACGCAGGCTGGCCAGCCTGTCCCAGGGGCAAGTGACCAAACTGATGAAGGAGCAGGGACAGCAGGCACGTCCTCAGGAATCTGCGTTGCTCTTTGTAGTTGCAGGACCTAATCATCCCGAAACAGGTCTATGCCCTTCTCTGCCGTAGAACAGCACAAGGTTTCTTTCTGCTTCTGGTTCGGGGTTTGGGGGTGTGTTTGCTCTCCACCCTCCACCGGGACAAGGCCTCTCAGCTTCGCTGGGGCACACAGAGGCCCGGCGTGGGGGGGGGGGGCGCTCCTCCGCGGCCCCTTCCCTGCCCCCGCGGCCGGCCTCGGCCTCGGCCTCCCGGCGCACCCGGGCCGGCGGGGGCTCCCGGGGGAGGCCTCTTTGGAGCTCTCAGAACCCCCCAGGCGTGTTCTATTTTTAATGGGTTTTAAATGTGCGATCTACAAAGGAGAAGGGGAGTCCCCGTAAAAAGCAGTGGGGCAGTCGCCTCGCCGGGGAGCCGAGCGCGGGGGCGGGGCGGGGCGGGGCGGGGCGGGGGCGCCCCGAGCCCGAGCCGAGCCCGTGCCTGTGCCGCAGTTCTTCCCCTACGGCGACGCCTCCAAGTTCGCGCAGCACGCCTTCCGGACCTTTGACAAGAACGGCGACGGCACCATCGACTTCCGAGAGTTCATCTGCGCGCTGTCCATCACCTCGAGGGGCAGCTTCGAGCAGAAGCTCAACTGGGCCTTCAACATGTACGACCTGGACGGCGACGGCAAGATCACGAGGGTGGAGATGCTGGAGATCATCGAGGTGGGGCGGCGGGCCCTGGGGGGGGGCGGGGCGGGGCCTGGGAGGGGCCTGGGGGAGGGGCCTCGGGGGCGGGGAGGGGCCTGGTGGGGAGGGACCTGGGGGGAGGAGGTAAAGGACCTGGGGGGTGGAAGGGCCTCGGGAGGGGAGAGGGGGGAGGGGGACAAGGACCTGGGGCGGGGGTGGGGGGTGCGGGGACGGGCCTCGGGAGGGGAGAGGGGGGAAGGGGACAAGGGCCTCGGGGCCAGGCCAAGGCAGGGCGGGGGAGCCTCAGGGCCGGGCCCTCAAGGTGGGGTTGGGGAGAGGGACCGCGGGGCGTGGCTGGGATGGAGCTAGGGAGACGGGGGGGGGGGGGGCGGGGCTCTCAAAGGGAGGGGGTGGGGGGCCTCGGAGCTGGGGGTGGGGCAGGATGGGGGGCATGGGGCGGGGCCGTCGGGGGACCTGGCGTCTGGGGTGGGGCGGGGCGGGGCTTTCGTGATGGGGTGGGAGGCTCAGGTTGGGGCGGAGTGGGGCCCTCGGGGCGGGCCGGGCAGGTGGGGCTTCCTGGGCCTGGGGACCCGGCGGGCCCCGACAGGGCAGGCTAAGGACCACTCCCCCCCCAACCCGAGGAAGCTTGGAGCCTGGGCTGCGCGGCGGCTTCCTTTCTTCCCTGCCTGGAGCCCGGGTGGCCACCTGCCCGGCCCCCAGTTCCGTCCCCCGACCCCCGTCCCCCGACCCCCGTCCCCGCGCGTCCCCGCGCAGCGCTGGCAAGTCCAGATCCAAGCCCCCGGGCTCTGACGCCGGCGCCACGGCTGTACTCAGACGCGGGGCTTCTGCCCTGGGCCTAGCGCGGCCCTGCTGGGCGCCCCCACTTCCTCAGCCAGCTTTCCCCTGGTTGCATAAGATGCTATCCGTAGCTCCTCTGACATCTTACAGAACTTTATTGAGTTATAATTTGCAGACCATAAAGTCGCCCATTTTAACTGGACGATTAAATGATCTTTAGTGAATTTACCAAAGTATGCAATCATCCCCATAATCCAATTTTAGGACGTTTCCCTTCCCCCAGGAAGACCTCTCATGCCACCTGCCTGTTCCTGTTACAGACTCAGATGACTTGACTCTTCTTTGTCTCTGGATTTGTGTCTCTGGACATTTCATATAAACAGAATCAGACAATATAAATATATGGCCTTTATGCCTGGATTCCTTTTTTTTTTTTTCTGGATTCCTTTTTTAAAAGAACCTATGTTGTAGGATTTATCAGTATTTTATTCCTTTTTGTTGCTAAAATAGTATTCAGTTGTATGGATCTGTCATATTGTTTACCTGTTTACCAGTTGATGAGTGCTGGTGCTGTTTCCACTCCTTGACCATTATTAATAATGCTGTTAGAACATTCACCTGCAGGTCTTGGTGTAGATGGGCATTTGTTTTCCTTCAGGAAGTTTCCTAAGAAAGTTGTTTCTATCTAGGAAATCCCCATGTTGAGAATTACTTGTGTACAGTTAAGTGAAAGTCGGAATTGTTTAACTTATGAACAGAGTCCCTGATCCACAGATCTCCCTAAACTAATCTTTCTGGGCTGAACATTACTGGGCCACCTTGCTTGGTTGTCTTAGCAAATGATTGTAAGTTCCTTATCAGTTGGGACCACATTTCTCTTTTCCTAAATCTTCAAGGGCTAGTGCTTGGTGACTTTCATCTGCACTTCAAACCCAGAATGTTTAAAACCGAGGTCATCATTTTCCTCCTGAGTCTTCTCCTCATCCATTAATCTTGCACTTACCACTGAGGTACTCTGTCTCCCCACTTCCTCCAACCTGGGAGTCGGATGAAATTCTTTTATGTCCAGTTGGTCACAAGACTCACACATATTTGATTATATCGCTGTCTTATTTAAAACGATTTAGGAATCCTTTGAAGTAAATTTAAATCTTTTATCATATCATGGGAGAACTTTACGCTCTGTTTCTGGTTTTCCCAAGGCTATCTATAAGATGGTAGGCACGGTGATCATGATGAAGATGAACGAGGATGGTCTCACGCCTGAGCAGCGAGTAGACAAGATTTTCAGCAAGATGGATAAGAACAAAGATGACCAGATTACACTGGATGAGTTCAAAGAAGCTGCAAAGAGCGACCCTTCCATTGTATTACTTCTGCAGTGCGACATTCAGAAATGAGCTGAGGTCAACGCTATGGACTGACAAAAGTCTCAATGTTCCATTCAGTCTGCAGCTATTCACACACACACACACACACACACACACACACGCACACAAATATTGCTTGGACTACCTATCAATGGACTTGCTTCTTGTGTTTGAAACACTTGTGTGCATGAGAATGTCATTTGCTAATGAATTTTAAAAGCATATATTATAAAACAAACAACCTGCCACAATGTGATATGTGTAACATCATTTCATAAAAACCCTTCTCCCTTCAAGCCTGGGCAGAAATGTGCTGCAAAAAGTTCTATGGTTTCTTGTTCATGTTTTGCTAATGCTCGTGTCTCCTTGATTACATGTTAGTAGCACTGAGACCCCCCCTGGTAATGTAACTTAATATAAGCTGTGTCACCATTCTCGTGTAAAATAGTACTGGACAGGCACACGGAGAGGCCTTGGCTTCCCTGTGTGGTCCGCACTCAAGAGCTTGTATTATCAGTGAAGATAAACGTGCTACCTTTGCATGCCTTTTAGGTTTGCCTTAACTCTTACCTCATTTGCATTCTATCAATCTGGAAAGAGCTATGTTGGAATTACTGCAGTATAAAACTTAAAAATCCTGCTACATGACTCATTAATTAAGTATATCTCTCTATATATACATATACACAAAGATATTATTTATTGAAAGTAAAAAAAAAAAAAAGCTGGAAGTGTATTGATTTCTGCTTGAATTTTCAAAGGCTCCCAAAGAGGTGGCAATAGATGTCCCAAATAAATTTATAACATTTGACTTTCTCCCTCAATTCTTATTTCATAATTTTAAATCTGAAATGGATGTTCATGATTATCAAGGGTCAGCTAGCAGCAACTTAGCAAATCTACTCTGAAATATACAACCTCAGAATTCAGAGAATTAATGACAACGAAATGGAGAAAAGCAACTTTCCAACTCTACATCCTGGCCCTCAAAAGAGGGGCAATGAACATGGTAGGTGAAATTTAAATAAAACATGAAACTTCTCTGTTCTCAAAAAAATACCCATTGTATAAAATTAAGTTTCATCTTAATGTGACTGGGTGCTAGCGACACATTACCTTCTTCCCATGGTGTGGAGGACACATGCAGCCAGCTGAGAAGTGTCCTCCAAAGGCAGCCCGTAGGAAAGAACACTTCTGTCTTTCCAAGTCAAAAGTATACTAGTTGTTATTTTTATTTTTAATTTTTCTTTTTTTTTTTTTTTTTTTTTGAGAGAGAGAGAGAATGGGGGAGCAGCAGAGGGAGAGAAAAATCTTAAGGAGATTCCACACTAAGCGCAGAGTCCAACATAGGGCTCAATCTGATGACCCTGAGCCAAAATCAAGAGTCAGACGCTGAACCCACTAGGTGCCCCGCTAGTTGTCATTTTTAATGATGGAACAAAATTCTGACCCTTTTAAACCTGAGAAGAGCAGACAGAAGAGATTACCTCAAGAACTCTAAAGACAGGTTGGTATTTTCCAGAGAAGCTCAGTTTTTCCCATAGTGCTGTGCAACAGAACTTTCTAGGATGATGGAAAAGTGTATGTCTGCACTAGCTACATGTATCTATTGAGCACTTCTGTATGGCTAGTGTGACTGAGGAACTGAATTTTTCATTTCAATTTAAATTCAGGGCGCCTGGGTGGCTCAGTCGGTTAAGCATCCGACTCTTGATTTTGGCTCAGGTCATGATCTCAGGGTCAGCCCCACACTGGGCTCTGTGCTCAGCAGGGAAACTGCTTAAGATTCTCTTTCTTACTCCCCCTCTGCCCCTATCCCATCTCCCTCTCTAAAAAAATAATAATTTAAATTTAATTTGCCACATGTAGCTCATAGTATCCGGGTAGTGCTTTGTTATTCACTTTTTATCGAGTGCCTTTTTCCCTCCTAAATACTCTTCCTTTGTCTGTCTTAGGATCATTAAGACCAGAGACCAGGGCCTAATGATTCCATGCACCCATTCCACAGGAAGCTGTGAGCAAGCACACCTCACCACAAACACTCAGGACACCGACGGTACCTGAATCACTGATAGAACCATCCCAAGTGGTAATAGAATGTCCTTTACCCCTGTGCTTGGTGAGTCCAATGTGGGGGCAGGAGAGATGGGAGGTCTTTGGCGTCTCCCAATATTCTCTGCCCCTAAATGAGGGGGAGTGGGGTGAGGAGCTAGAGGGGCTCCTTAGAAAGGTGCTGGGTTGAGTCTGACGCTGGTACTGCCTTCATAGCAAATCTTCACGGTCACCTACCGTGCACCCAGCACCATCGTTATGGGGAGAGACAGACAATAACCAAACCACACACACACACACACACACACACACACACACACACACACACACACACACGAGATGACCACTTGTAAGAACAATGAAGGAAAGAAGCACAATCTAAGAAGGATGGGGAATGATGGGAGCCGGTGGCTATTTAGGAAAGAGTGGTTAAACGACATTTGAAGTAAGAAGTGAGCTATGAGGATATTCAGGGCAATCATGGGGGAAAATAAACCTCTCCAGCAGAACTTTCTTTCTTTCTTTCTTTCTTTCTTTCTTTCTTTCTTTCTTTCTTTCTTTCTTTCTTTCTTTCTTTTTTTCTCTTTTTTTCTTTCTCTTTCTTTTTCTTCTTTCTTTCTTTCTTTCTCTTTTTCTTTCTTCTTTCTTTCTTCTCTTTCTTTCTCTTTCTTTCTTCTTTCTTTTTAAAAAAAAAAACATTTATTTCAGAGAGAGAGAGAAGGCACAGGAGTAGGGGGAGGGGCAGAGGGAGCGAGAATCTTCAAGCAGACTCCCTGCTGAGCACAGAGCCTGAGCAGCGCTATTTCCCACAACCGAGCTGAGTGCCCCTGACTAGTTCTTTTCATAAATAAAATGTAGTGATCAGGCCAGCAAGTGAACACAGCGCCGGTAGCGTGGCCCGGGAACAGTGCCTGGAGAGCAGTCCAGCAGTACTTGGCTAGAGTAAGTGTGCATATGCCCTCGAGGCAGCACTCTCAGCTCTGGGAATTTTGCCCCAAGAAGCTCTCCTAGAGGGCCATGAGGGCCATCCCAGGATGTCTGTGACAGCTCTGTGGGAACTACAGGCAATCTGGTGGCTCATTACTAGGGGACTAGGTAAGTCAAACGTGGTTGATGCAGCCTATGCATACTACACATTGGCTGGAGGCAACAGACTGACAGCAAAATGGACATAGCTCTTTAAAAAAGATTTTTTATGAGAGAATGCACGAGAGGAAGGAGGGGTAGAGGGAGAAGGAGAGGCAGGTTCCCCACTGAGCAGGGAGCCCAACGCAGGGCTTCATCTCAGGACTCTGAGACCATGACCTGAGCCGAAGGCAGACGCTTAACCGACTGAGCCACCCAGGCGCCCTGGATATAATTCTTTTAAATGCCAATTGGGAAAAACAGAAACAAAACCTCATGCATAGTGTAATATATATATATGAAATATGCATTCTCACAATAAGAAAACCAAAGACGTGTAAAACACCAGGAAGTATCACCTTAAGATAGTTTCTAGGAGTAGGTAGTAGTAGGAGTGGTTCAGTTACTAGTGCTCCACAATAACTCCACCCCAAAACTTAGTGGCTAAAAATAGAAACAATCATTTTATTATTTCCGTAGCTTCCGTAGGTCAGGAGTTTGTGAGAGGTTCATGTGGCCGATTCTGGCTCGGGGTCCCTTCTATAGTTGCAGTCACATGGTAGCTTGAACGGACACGGGGCTCTGGAGGAGCTGGGGCCTGGTTGGCATCTCCCTTCCTGTGGTCTCAGGGCCCCTCCCGTCCTGGGCTAGTTTGTGCTTCCTCACGGGATGGTGGCCTCAGCACTCACGACCTTCATGGTGGCTCAGGCTCCGGCACAAGTAGTCCTGCAAAGAGGTTGGAGTATTCCTAGATTTTTCTGATCTGACCTCAGAAGTCATGAAATAGCACTTCCACCCATTTTCTTGATGACGAGACAGTCACGGAGCCATCCATATTCAAGGAAACTAGATTCCAAGTCTTCCTTTTAACAAGGGAATCATATTGTTTGCAGGCTTCGTATTGCCTGTGATTCACTCATTCAGGATCACGGTCTCTGGATGAATAATAGGAACTTCCTTCTTAAAGAGGCCAGATGATTCCCTCCACATGGTTGGAATTCATGTCAAGAAGTAAAACACATGTTTTAACAGATGTCTTCAGAGGGCCTCAAGGCAAAGGATGTGTAGAGGCGTAGCAAGAAACTGATGGTCAATTAGAGCTCTAAATAAAATAACGGGGTTCCCCGAGCTCCTTTCCTGTAAGAAATTAAGTGTCTCCAGTATTTTGGGCATACAATTCGGATTTTGCCCAGCATCTTGCAGGTGGAATATCATCTCCAGACTCTTAAGTCACGTTATTGTTTTCCATTCTTACACTCACCAATGTGACGTTACTCGCCCAGTAGCAGAGTGCTTGCCTCCACCTCCCCATCTTTCCTGTGAATGACATCATCGTTCTTACTGCTTTTAGGACCCAGGCCAATCATCCTTGATTCCTCTCTCACAACTCCACAGTATTACCAACAAATCCCACTGCCTCATTTCACACTGGAACACTACCTCCTTCACTTTGGCCGGGTCACCTTGACCTCTGACCTGGACGGCTGTCAGAGCTTGCTTTCCTTCACCATACTCTCATTCTAACCTATTCCCATAGCAGCCAGAGAGATATTTAATACGTTTATTAGACCAGGTCTGAAAACATATTAGACATCGAATGACCCTGCTTCCTTCTGCCTACCTCTGAACCTCATCCCCTTTGCTCACTAAGCCCTGCCAACATGGGCCTTACGGTTCGTGGACACGAAGTCCATTCTCACTTAACAGGCCTTACACTCAGTTCCTCTACCTAGAACCTTTGCCTTAGGTCTTCCTGTAGCTTGTTCTCTCGCTCATTTCAGGCTCTGCTTAGATACTACCTTCTGCAAAGTCTTCCCTCAATGCTGCTTCTGAGACCCCCCACCCCCTGCCACTCTACTTCTTACCCTGCTTTATTACACATAGCAATTACTGTTCTCTGGAATTATATACAGCACATGTTCCCCTCAACTGGATTTTTTGCTCCCCGAGGGCAGATCTGGTATACTCCCAGCATCATTCTCCATGCATTAAATTGTTGCAAGCACACACATGGCAGGAACGTCATCATTTTTGAATGAATTAATCTCTATATTCTTAAACTTGAGAAAACCAGGCAATAGCACTCTTAAGCTTGCTGATCAGTGAGTAGCCTCAGGACACATTAGTTTCTCTGGATTCTATCCAGATGCCCTAGCCAAAGTTTAATGGGTTCGGTATCAGTATTATAAATAATTAAAAAAGAGAATTTCATTTGCTGACTCAAAGAAATAGCTAATTTAGATCCACATTACTTTACCACCCTTTAAAGAACAAAAGCTGGTCCTATTACATATTTTGATGTACCTTCCAGTCCACAGTCACTTATTTCAAGTCATGAGATATGCTACTGTTTTAACTTTTAGAACTCTAAGTTCCAAACCGATTCTCCTGAAAATCTGAGTTGGTCAATGTATAGGCATCAGTGTTGATGTATAAACAAGTCCTAGATCTAACCAGAACCTCCCTGACTCGAGAAATGATAACTCGTACTAATTCTCGGGAAATCTGGGTGACTTGGTCTCCACCACAGCTGGCAACACTTCTGATCCAGCTCCAGTCCCAGACAATAGCTTCTTACTCAGAATTGAAGCATTTTGGTCTGTAGACATTTTTGAAGACATGTGAAGGTGAAGAGGGTAGGGGCGGGGAGAAAGCAGCACTTGATGGGATGGAGAAGCGAAAATACTTAAGAAAAAAGAAGGCTGTGCCTGAATCTTTCCTGTTGATTATCAGCTTGAGTAACTCTATTATTTCTATCTTGGTTTACTACAACTCATCACATTTGTCATTTTGAGAATGATTGTAATTTTGCCCACCTCTCCACCTCATGGATTTGAGGTGAGATTTAGGAGTCCAAGGGAACAATGGCCCTCAGTTCCCAGGGCATCATCACTCAGGTCAGTCCTGATGATGAACCAGGGGTCGGGAAAGCCTCTGTTTTATGTAGTGAGGTCACGCAATATATACATATTTAAAGTTTTATTTAAAAAATTTACTAATTTTTAAAAAAATTTTGAGAGAGTGAGCGAGAGAGCACGAGGCAGGGAGAAGAGGGAGAGGGAGAAGCAGACTCTCTGCTGAGCAGGGAGTCCATACAGGGATTAATCCCAGAACCCTGAGATCATGACCTGAGCCAAAGGCAGGTACTTAACTGACTGAGCCACCCAGGCACCCCTAAAGTTTTATTTTTAGAAGTTACGTATATTGGGAACCCTGGGTGGCGCAGTGGTTTAGCGCCTGCCTTTGGCCCAGGGCGCGATCCTGGAGACCCGGGATCCAATCCCACATCGGGCTCCCGGTGCATGGAGCCTGCTTCTCCCTCTGCCTATGTCTCCGTCTCTGCCTCTCTCTCTCTCTCTCTGATGACTATCATAAATAAATAAAAATTAAAAAAAAAAGAAGTTACACATATTTAAAGACAAAAAATTTTTTTCTTCTTTTATTCTAATTAATGTTACTATTATTAGGCCATTAATCGAAGGTATGTATTTTCCCTTAATGATAGTTGAAACCAAAACTTTGTGAGGCTAAAGCAATGAATAATCTTGGACTCTTAACAAAAGATGTTTGTAACTGAGGATTCTATTTCCCATTCTGTATTCAGAAATGTAACTTTAAAAAAAAAAAGAAATGTAACTTTTAAAAACTATCACAAAGATTCAGACACTAAAATTATTTAGCTAATATAAGTCTACGCATGTGGTATTTCCACTTCATTTTTTTTATTTGAAAAAAGCACATATATGTTAAAAAGTAGTTTTGATACAAATTAGTTATAAACATAACTTTTAAAGGTCAGACTTTGCATGGTTTTAGGAGGATGTTCATTAACTTTCAGTATACATTTCCTCCTTCTGTAAATTCTTAGATTAGAAAAGCACAGATTTTTAGACTTCTCATTTACCAACTGATCTCACTTTAAGGTTAATTAGACTCTCTCCCCTCCACTAAAATAAAAAACAAAACCCAGTTTTCCTCAGTAACAACAGAAGTGCTGCTACTTTTAAAATACTGCCTTTTTTCTTAAAATATTTCCTTTTCAATTCCATAAATATTTATCGCTAGCAATACAGGGAATGCTCCTGGAATATCCACGTCTGTCTTAAAAATTTAGCACTTACCTAGTATCAAAGAGAATATAGGCAAGAGTATTACTCATGCCTTTAAAAAAAAAAAGTTGATAAACAGCATTTCCTACAAGATGCTATGTTTTATCATTCTAAGAAGCCCACTCTTAAACAGCTCTAAAGTCAGGATGTGTCTTTGAGGTCACAGGTGTCAGCTCCCCATCAATAGGCCGGCCTCTGGCTCTGCTGGGCTTTCCTGCTCTGGAGGGAGCCCGTTTTCTTAACCCTTCTCCCCAGCTCCTCTCAGCTGAGCCAAGAGCCCTGGCCCATGAACGGAGGGGTTTTAAACCAGGCAAGCGTGCCACAGGTCAGGGTGTAGGGCTGTGACACAATCCCGTTGTGACATGGGTTAGACACTTAGTTGGATGGATGACGTTCAAGGACTGAGAAAAGGCACTGGGTCAGGGTTGGTGGTGCTGTGGTACTCCATCAAAGTGCTGTAGAGATAGCATCCTAAATCTGAATGCAATTTAATTATTAAAAGTACAGCCCAAATCTCTAGTTCCATCTCTAATGATACAAAATGACCTGTGCAAGGATTCTGAGCAAAGGTCTATAGTCCTGTGCAGGTCCCTCATAATTAATGAGCAAAACCAGACAGTAAATCCTCTGTAACCTGGTCCCTACCCACAGACCGCCTGTGCACCCCAACCTCTGCAATGAAGAGGTCATATTCTGGAAAATAAAACTAAATATAATCAGATGCTCAAACTTTTATTTTAATTATTACAAAATACCATAGAAATGAACCCAAACTAAACAGATATGTACAAAATTTTACTTCTCAAAAAACAATCTATAAAAGTAGATGGTTAAAAAAAAACAAACTTAAAAAAAGATTTAAAACCAATACTATGAAATTAATTTCCTCAAAGTAAAGTAACAGTAATTTTAAATTGCTGGTTGGCGTAGGCTTCCTAGACTTATTTACATATTTTACTGGGGCCAGATATATAAAGGAGTTTCTTTTATTTTAGATTATCTTCAGTTTCATTTTATTTCATCAAATACTCCTGAATCTCTTTCCCTTTACAAATCTGGCAACATGAGGACATGGCACAGGGCACAGGGAGCTGTAGATCAACTTCGGTCTTCTTCTTCCTCTTGGCCCACAGGTCGGAAAGGCAATGTCGTCTGTCCTCTTTCAGGGTCAGACATTCGAAGAATTCTAATCAGTTTACTTGATGGAAGTGAACTAGAGGAAGCAAAATTAATTACTCAAGATTACTAGGAAATTTTCACAATAAAACACATTCCAAGACTACTTCCTGAAAATACCAATCTGCTGTATCTGATAATGTTGGATATGCTGCAATATCTGGAGTTTGAGGAGAAATACAAGTTGCAATAAAGAAATAATTTGTTTTCATTTTTAAAAATTAACTTCCGGGCAGCCCGGGTGGCTCAGTGGTTTAGCGCCACCTTCGGCCCAGGCCCTGATCCCTGAAGACCCAGGATCAAGTCCTCCAAAAAAGGTGGCTGATTGAAAAAATTCAAGGTAGCAAAAAAAAAAAAAAAAAAAACATGTTAAAAAATTAAAATAGACTTCCTGTTAAGTGCTATGGGCTTTCAGTTTAGAAGAAAAAGAAAATGAGGAGATACCAACAATTTCTAACTGCCAGGAAGGAGTTACCTGAAAATTTCCAATCACAAACTTCAATCCCCAAAGAATCAAGTGACCACTTTAGATGCAGAATATCTACTCTATGGGATACAATGCCTGACACCGCATAAGTAACCAGTACAGGCTGACTGACTGCAGGATAGAGTTCTTCACTTTGAAGGACTAGTCGCAGTAAGCGACCAGGAAAAGAGCCCAGACTGAGGAAATCATAAACTGTGTCTTTTGTCTAAACAGAATTACTAATATTACTTTATTAGTTGTCCATGATAACCACAAACAAAATTTTAAATCTCTAAGAAGGAAAAATGATCTTAAATCTCCTGACACAAGAACCGAGTTTTCTTTTTATTGGTGATTTATGTATCTGCATTTTAAAAATTAAGATTATAAAAGATTTATTTTCCCCTTTTATGTTCCTTGATGTATATATTCACCAAAGAATTTTTTAAAGTTACCTCATGCTTTGAGGGGTAAGCAAGATAAACTGTCTGAAACGCTGGGAATCTGCCATCTTGAGTATCATGTCCATTGCAATCCTCCGGTTAACCATGTCCTGAAGAACAAAGGTAGGATCTCTGTTGCATCAATCATGTTCCCGCAAAAGCAGCATTCTGCTGGCTGTTACAAACCCCAGCATTTTTATCCAAGGATCATCTACTACTTTATCTGTGATGCCAAACTATTCATATAGGGAAAGGTAATATTCAAAACTCTTGGGGAAAATAACTGAATATACCTAATCTTCCAGGTAAAATTTCTATAGTCAAATTATCTGTTAAGTAGAATTCCCTCCCTCAAAAATACTTACCAACTAAAATAACCAGCAAATATTCCAAAGACACAACTAAATGTTAGAAAATGAATATAATCTGTACAGTAATAATAACCCTCAGAAGAGTATCAAAAGTGACAACTATAAAGTTACTAAATCTCTCAAAATTTCCCTCAATTAAGGTGTTTTAAAACCTTTACCCCTACCCCATCACATTCTACAATGAACCAATTTAAATTTGCAAACCAATTCCTCAATTCAATCTTTAAAATAAGTTAAACAGTATATCAGCGTATATAAAAATAATGCTTCATTAAACAGGTTTGAAACTAAATTAAACTGTGGGCTTACATTTTCCAAGTTCAAATAACAGATAAAAAAAAAAAACATCGAAGTACCTTGAAAACTCCTGAAAAGTTGAAAACGTAACTGTTTTTATAAGCACATGTTTTTAAAGTTCTATTTGAAACTTTATGTGGCAGTACAGCATGGATAAGAACACACTGTTTTGGAGGCAGACCAACATCCTGGTTATTGCTCAATGGCTTGTATTATATAAATTCTTCCCTCAGGCATATCTGTAAAGCAATCTAACTTAAAGTTAACAAAAATAATGAGAGCTTGCATAAGCAGAATGCTGTCCTTTCAAAACACTGCCCTGGGGAGGCCTATCATTTAGTAACAAAGCTGTCAAACCACCAAAATATATGTATTTGTTTCCGATTGGATTTCAGAACTTGGGTACATTTTTCTAAATAATTCCAACGGGGCAAAATGCCATCCTGATTAAGAACCTCTAAGTTTCTGAAAGAGAAGGAAGTTATTCAGAATTAAATTTGACAAATAAGATGGGTGATAAGATTGCAAAATGGCATTTTGAACAAAATTAGTGCATGGTAAGAACAACTGTCTTCTATGATTTATGAATTAGCCCTGAAACCAATCCTCAGAGGCATTTCTAACCAATTGCAGCAATGGTAACATAGGGGGAAAAAAATGACACCAAAAGATTATACAGGATGCACAGGTATAAATTCCATGAAAGAGCACTATGTAAACACTTATGGGTTAGACATCAAGTAGGTAGACGTATCATCAAAAAAAAAAAAAAAAAAAAAAAAAAGACAGTTGATAACTTCCAAAACGGCTATAATTTGGTGGGAGATTCAGACATGAAAATAGAGAAATAGAGGACCACAACAGAATGAAAATGTATAAAATATGCAATAGTGACAGGTACAGAACATACAATTATATAATAAAATATTTTATAATATAAAATATAAAAGATAATAGCATGAATTGGTGTAGGTTGGTGCCAAGGGAGCTCACAATCCTGCCTGGTGGTCACAAAGGCTATATAAAGATCACATCTGAACCAAGTCTGAAAAGATGAGTAAGACTGTGACACAGAGAACAGCACAAGAGGCAGACGCATAGTGTTTGGAAAAATCACAAGTAGCTTAGGATGGCCACAAAGTGGGCAGATACTATATCATGAAGGGTCTCACAGTCACCCAAAGAATTAAACATTCATCCCAGATGAGGTAATTTGCCACCACAGAGTTCTAACACGTAAGTGACCACAATCAGATTCATTTTAGAAATGTAAATCTGGCAAAACAGTGAGGGAGGGACCAAGGAAGAAGCAAGATTAAAGTCTGGGAGTCTGGACAGGAGGCGGTTATGACAGGCAGGGGCTGGGGAGACAGAGAGAAGGTATCAGGAAGGAGCAGAGACTCAGAAGGTCAGATGTGATGGGCAAGTAAAAAGGAAGGGAGGATCACAGATACATCAAAGGTCTGGCAGTGAAAGCTAACTGGGTTGGTAACAGCAATTTGCCACCAATCAAAGTAGGGGATTTAGGAGAAGGAAGAGGCTCTGAGTGGAAGACTCGCTGAGTCTGAGGTGTGGTTGTACACCTTAAGACATCTAACAATGGTTGGGCACAGGGGTCCGGAGTACAAGAGAGATGTCAGGATGAGACACTCAGACTTTCTGGTATCTAAATGTAGGTGGTAGTGTTGGGGACTCTGTGCATGTGTTTAGCATGTAGGTGTAGGTAGGCTATGGTAGCCAGGAAAATCAACAACAGTATAAAAAATAAAAGAGAACCTCATACATTGAAGGGGAATGGCATTAGGGGAAGCAGCACGGAACACACTAGAACCAGAAAAGAGGAGAGAGGAAACTGGCAAGAAGACACATTACAAGAGACGGAGGATGCCAAATACTTTGGTCTCTGGTGTCAAATATGTAAAAGAATTAAAATAATGCTTAAAGTACATTGATAATCCTTGCTAAGCAAGTTTTGCCAGAGTATCATAGTCTAAACCCAGAGTATAGTGGGTTTGGGTTTAGGAAAGAACGAGGCATGAAGAACTACACAGAACAGGTAAAGGCTGGTCTGTGAGGGCTCCCCATGTGCCTCCATTATCCTAAATGCATTTATAAGTCATACCTCACTGTAGCATCTCCCCATAACCCTACAAGGTAGGAGAGATGAATTATGTGATTTTATACATGAAATGAGGCCCAAAGTCCTCTGGGTAAGCAGTGGCAGAGGAGGTCTGAATCCTAGGTCTGTAACTTCCAAGTCAAACTTCCTGCCCTCATGTTGTATCTGCTGCTCTTTTGGTCCAAGAAAGGGTAAGGAAATGCTTACCACTGTTAACATGGAAGATGGAAATAAGCTAGGGAAGAGGTGGAAGCCCAATGGGGCCTGCAGGCTAGCAGGGAGAGCACTAGCTAGATTCTTAGTTCTTCCCTACTAGCTCTTAAGGACTAAAGTGTCAGGGCAGGATCCCTTCTCTTGTGGGTAAAACTAAAGAAAGAACTGCTTCCTTTCAAAATACACATTTCCAACACAACAAAAATTAGAGAATTCAAAATTTAATACCTACCATGTAGACATCAAACTCATCTAGGCACCTGAAAGGAGACTCAGCAATGGACCACAGAGAAAGAATGAAGCAAACTGTGGAAAAAGAACGTTCTCCTCCGGATAAGGCTCTCATGTCATTGAAGGCAGCTCTGTTTCCTTCTCCAGGCTGAACCTTGATGAGTTCATAAAACACAAAGTGTAGCATAAGTCAGACTAAATTCTATAAAAAAAGGTTGGCTAGCATTAAAAAGAATGGGTTTACAGTTAAAAAAAATCATTAGTGATTTAATGATACAGAAATGACATGTATTTATAACAATATTAATTCTGATCCATGAACACGGGATATCTTCCCATTTATTTGTGTCTTCTTCAGTTTCCTTCATCAATGTCCTAAGTTTTCAGTGTACAGATATTTCACTTCCTTGGTTAAATTTATTCCTAAGTATCTTATTATTTTTGATGCTACTGTGAATGAGATCATTTTTTTTTTCTTTTTGCAAACATTGCGAAGTGCTCAGATAATCTTTTGTTACTGGAAATACAGTGACATCTAGTGGCTAAGCTACTTTAAAAGGTAATTACTGAATGTCAAAAAGACACCAGGACCAACTTAAATTTAGGGGCTCACACTGGCCAAGGAATACACAGCAGCAGTGAATTGAAACGTAAAATTTCTTTCAAAAATTCTTATTAAGAATTTAAGGAAAGGATATCATGAAAAAAAGCAAGTGATAAAATTAATAAACTCTCACACAATATCCTGGGGAGACATAAAATAAATCAGAAGGAATTCTATTTCATTTGGGCAAAATTCCATACACACATATATATTCATAAGATGGAAAATCAGGGCACCATCAGGTTGTCTGTCAAAAAGTCCTACCATATGTGTTTTAGCAGACACACAGCTTCACATATTGTTCTCACCCACTATCTGAAAATTATGTGCCTCTCAAGTGGCATTCATTTATAAAAGGGTTATAAAAATTCTCATTTAAACATATACTGAAATTTATTTATCATCTGTAAGTCTGAATCTGTGAGACTCCAAATGAAAAAGCAACTAAGCAGTAAAAAGCCAGATGAAACCCACCAACCAACCAAACTACCCCACATAAAAGCAAGAAGAACTAAGTAACAGGATGTGGTCTTTCGCTCAAAAATTGCCTTTTGTATTAATCTAATAAATGAAGCCCTCGATTAATTGTGGAGATCTAAATTTTACCCCTGATCTATTATTAACTTATAATGGGACTTTGGTCTCAGTTTCCTTATTTGTAAAACAAAGACTAGAGAACTTAAGGATTCCTAAAACACTAATATTCTTTTACTGAATAACAGAGGTGATAATGTCAGAAGGTCTAGCTTTGGTTGTCCTACACAGTTAGCTCTGGAGATAAATGATCCAAATATTTCCACTATTTTCTTTTTTTTTTTTCATTTTTATTAGAGTATAATTCATATACAGTAAAGAATATAAAGCTTAAGTTTTCAGCTCAATTACTTGGGTAATTACTCCAAGCAAGACACAGAACATTCCTAGCATCTCAGCAGATTCCCTCTGTTCTCTCCCAGTCGTGACAAAAATCCAAATGGTTAACAATGATTCTGACTCTAATCATCACCATTTAATCAGGTGAATTTTTATCAGTTTTTGAAGAGTTCTGAAGAATGGAATTGCTGTGCGTCTGCTAAAACACTGCCAGACAGGTTTCTAAAATAGTTTTATCAAATTATATCACTGCTGGCAAAGTATGAGTGTTCCAAGTGCACAGCCTCACCAACCTAAGATATTACTGGTGTTGTTAGTTTTGGTCACACTGGTAGCAGTACAATAGTCATTTATTATGGTTTAACCTTTTTCTTTCTTTTCTTTTTTCTTTCTTTCTTTCTTTCTTTCTTTCTTTCTTTCTTTCTTTCTTTCTTTCTTTCTTTCTCTCTCTCTCTCTCTCTCTCTCTCTCTCTCTCTCTCTCTCTCTCTTTTGAGAGGGAGAGAGAGAGAAAGAAAGAGAGCCTATTGCAGGGCTCAATTCCACAACCTATGAGATCATAACCTGAGCCAAAATCTTAAGTCAGATGCTTAACCGACTGAATCCATCCAGGTGCCCCAAATTCATATTTTCCTGACAAATAATGATACTGAGTACTTTTTCAGGTACTTACTCATTACTTGGATACTTATAAAGTTCCCCCTTAAGCGCTGTGATCATTTCTAAATGTCCTGTCATTCTTTTTCTTAATTATTATTCTTAAAAAATGTATATGAGGTTTATTAGGTATGTATATGTGCTGTAAATTATTATTTATTCTAAGTATTAAAATGAAGTGGCCACTAGGGATACCATAAACATTTAGGCCAATTAGGGACGCCTGGGTGGCTCAGTGGTTGAGCATCTACCTTGGCTCAGGTCGTGATCCTGGGGTCCTGGGATGGAGTCCCACATTGGGCTCTCTGCAGGGAGCCTGCTTCTCCTTCTGCATATGTCTCTGCCCCTCTCTCTGTGTCTCTCATGAATAAAGAAATAAAATTAAAAAAAAATCTATAGCAACTAAGAGTAATAAGCAATTACTTAAGAATTTTGCCCCAAGAAGAAATGTGTGAGAAATATCAGAAAGGGAGATAGAACATAAAGACTTCTAACTCTGGGAAATGAACTAGGGGTGGTGGAGGGGGAGGAGGGCGGGGGGTGGGGGGTGAATGGGTGACGGGCACTGAGGGGTACACTTGACGGGATGAGCACTGGGTGTTATTCTGTATGTTGGTAAATTGAACACCAATAAAAATTAATTTATAAAATTAAAAAAAAAAAAAAAGAATTTTGCCCCAGTTTTGAAAGTGGGTGGTTGCTCTTGACCTCCTGACTATGTAACTTTTAATACTATCTCCCATATTCCTTCTTTCAATGCATGTGACTATTAAAAGAATCCACAGTCTCCACAAAGTTGAATGTAGTGGCTTTGTTTATTCAAAAGAGGCTGGATCTACAGACACCATTAGAAATAAATGCAAAGACAATTACCTGGGTTAGAACATGCTTCAGAGAAACCCTTTCTTCATTTTTTTAGTGACTTTCAGAGTATACGGACTTCCTATAATATCCCACATAATTTAAAATGCTACATGGATTTAAACAAGAAACCCGTGGAGTGAAAAGAGGGTAAACATTTGTCACTGAAAACAAAATTCCTAATTACCTTCACAGTGGCTGGCTGAGGTCGAGATAGGGGAGAGGTACGAAGGCAGCGTTAGCCAGTGAGGTCAACCTAATATTCAACACTCTGACCAACACTATCCTTAGCTTACAAGTAAGTTCTTTTGTTTTCCAAACACAAGAGATTAAAGCTTATCAATGTATCATCAAAGGAAATACAGCAGCTAATCCTCCTAAAAATTAGCAATATGGAGAGTTAAGATACTTACCGATATGCTAAGAGTTTCATTCTTGTGGTCAAAGTTCATTTTTCCACAATAGGCCCGCTGAGACAGTAAGTTGTCAAAGTACAACTTGCATCGTAAAGTCAGACACCTTGAAATGAAGACATGGGGCACATTTAACTGTATATTCAGCATGATCTTTGAGCCAGCATGGAGGGCCAGACAGAAATATGCCAAAATGTTAACTCTGGCTGCTTATTTAACAGCTGGGATTGTTAAGATTTTTCCCCTCGCTTTGTATTTTATTCGTGTTCCCACATTTTTACCACTTCATTTCCTTTTTTTTAATTTCCTTTTATAATCAACAAACACTAAAGAATGAATAAAGATGCTATCCCACACTTAATTAATATCTTCTATTACATTACAGCCAATCCATAGGAATACATCAATCATTCAAGCAATTCATATGAGGCATCACCCTAATATAGAAGACATAAATCTTGTCCTAGAGAGATGAAACTCTAGTACTGTTAAGATAATAAATAAATGGCCTATTCATCTGCATATCACTTCTTGACTTATGGAGACATTCAGGGTGAAGGCAACTTCTTAATCGTTCTGTACCTAGAATACCTTATCCACAGCCTGGCACAATGCAAACTCCATTTATCACACGGCATTCCACTGTAGGGAAGACCTTTCCTTTCCTCCTCAATTATTTATGTACTTATTCACTTTCCTATGTATCAGGATGGAGTCACAGATTCTTCATTTTCTCCACAGAGTTACCATCCGTTCCTGTCCTCAAATGGGCCCAGGTCTGGCCAGTGGGAGCCTCCTGTGTCCTTGGAGCATGACTGTTTCTTCTGAGTACCCTTTATTTTCTGGCACAGCAAGAGGCTCCTCTGTACTTTCTCTGCCCAGCTCCGGAACCAGCCATTTCTCCAAGGAGGGAATGGTATTTAGAAAATAAGATCCAAATGAGAGGAGACTTGGTATTTTCTTAACATCTTTGCTCTTTAATGAGCCTAAGGTTCATTTCTTCAGAGTAATTATCATTTTCTTATTATCCCCCTAATTCCCTTGCTAAACTACATTAAATCTCCACCCCAGAAAATCTGATAGCTGAGTTTTCTTTTGTGACACAGCAACCATAGCTAGCTGGTCAGAATTTTCTGTTAACTTTTCTTTCTTTCACTACTGGTAAGTATTCTTCAATTGCTTCCAGACATGAGATGTCTAAGACTGTCCTGATAAAATGGCAAGGTTCTCCAGTGTAAAGAGATAAACAATTTTAAGAATTTGTTCAAAAAAAAAAAAAAAAAGAATTTGACCATTCTCATTCTACTCCTAAGAATGGGTAAAGAAGATAGAATATATCAGTGGTGAAGAAACATATCAAGATAATAAACTAGAAGACAAATACTTTTACAGAAAATATTCTGAATATAAATTTTCTGGATAACAGTATAAAAAAAATCCTACTGCTTCTGAAAAAGATGTAGAAATGGGCATTGGATTTATTTACTCTCAGCCTGACACAGCCAAAAGACTGGTCGAAATAAATGCAACAAGTTTTCAGACTGACATTGAACAGTAGAGGCAATTCCAGTCAAAATGATCTCTGAAATACAGGAAACAAATAAATTGAGCCTTCCAGATGTCCCACATCACTACTTTCAGAAAGAGTAAAGGGGAGTGGAAATGCAGGTGGAGCCTGCAGGTCTCCCTGTTGAAGACAGAGCTGGGGGAAGGTAAAGTGCTCCGTTCTCAAAGCCTAGAGACGGGGGCACAGAGAACTCTAGAAGACTGACACAGGGAGCCATTCTCTCTGTATTTGTGAGACTGGGGCAAGAAACATCCCAAAGCAGCAGAAGCAATCCCCACAGGTCACCCAGAGCCAGGAATACCCCAGGTCTCAGCAAAAGCCTTCTAACTCCCAAGGTATCAGTGGAGTATCCCAAAGAACACTGCTTCACAGGTAGGAAAGGGCTGGTCCTGGATCAGCTGCTCAGGTCCCACTGCGTGAAACTTACAAGCAGTCTCAAAAGGATAAAAATAAATCCTATTTAAGTGAAGTTCTAATAACACACTTACAAAACTGAAGCACACATTTCAAATATTGACCTATAGTTTAGTTAAGGAATATGGCCAAAAATGCAAAGCCTGTTTTTCTTTATGGAATTACCTCAATTTCCTCAAACATACTAGATATATTTTTGAAATTCTATAGTCTCAGGATTATAGAGTTTTGGGTATAAAAACAGGTGAACAGCAGGTCACGAGGGAATGCCACTGTGGAAAACAGAGGTTAAATGCAAAGACTAGGACTGCCTTGAATCCAAGTAGGTCAAGGTCTATCCTTACCCATAAACTGACCTCTGGTTTATTTCTGTTGTTTGTGATTTTCACTGGTATCCATCTATTCTTGAGAGTATGAACATTTCTGGGTATATTAATAATATCCAGTTTCTCTGACCTTGTGTTCATTCTTTCAACCCATATATATCAACTTTCTACTATATTCCAGGCACAGTAGTAGGTATTGGACACACAGCAGTAAACAAATCAGAGTCTATATCCATGGAGCCACACTATTCCATCAGATCATAAACTGAGATACTACCTCAACAGGTCCTATCAAATACTTGTATCCCTTAAGAACCTGCAATGTCTAAGAGTGAAATAGGCTGTTTCAAAGCCAGTGAGCATCCATTCAATGGACCTATGTAAGCAGAGGTTGAATAGCCCTCTCTGAGTTACCTAGTAAAGGTACCTAACGGAGTGGAAAAATTGGATAAGCTTGTCTCAAAAGTCTCTTCCAATCTAGTATTCTCTGATTAAATGACAGGACCCTAAGTACTGGCCAATAAAGGAAACACTGGCAGTTTCTTCTTTAACTGAGTCGTGTAAAGTTCTTTCAATTTAATTTTATTATTTATAAGAGGTAATGTGAAAACAAAGAAAATATGAAAATGTAAAATATGTGATAATGAAAAAAAATATGTGATAATGTTTTTAAATGCACTTACCTTCTAAATTGTTGATATGTTTTATATCTATGAGTCATTATTTCTTCCAGCAATTTAATAAACCTTTTTAAAGTCCTGACTTTATTATCCAGATCAAGATAGGTTTCTCTTGCTTCTTGATACTGCCTGTTTTATGAACAAAATATTAAGTCAACAAGTGCCATTCAACGAAACATAAAGAGAAGTAAAATCTCAAATATATTTAATGGGGAAGAAGGAAGAGTGCAGGGAGTGCCAAGGGGCCCAGCAATAGCAGGTTGTCCTGTCTCCAGGCCAACTATACTCCCAGAATGAGCATCTGCTGCCTTGAAGGGGAAGCCCTGTACACAGACAGGGCTGGGCAGGAAAAGTCCAGGCCCTGGAGAAGGCAGAGGAAAGACATGAGGAAAGAGCCCAGGTGGGGGCCGGAACGGCAGATCTTAGAAAATGCCAGCAAATACCACCTTCTGAAAGTGAAGGGATCACACTGGAAGGCAAGAAATGTTTCCCTTAGTGACAGATGCCAGTGCAGGAACACAGGGTGAGCACTAGGATCTGCCAACCCCAGCCTGAACAAGTCTACGTCAAAGAGGCAAAGAAGGCAGGGCCACTTGAAAGTGCTATTACAGAGGGCAACTGCTCACTAGTGTAGCAAGAGAGAGAAGATTCCTGAGCGAGTCTGAAAAGCAACCTTGGCCAAGGCTCTACAGCTGCCCACCCCAAGCTCATTCAAATGCCCAGTCCAGGAAAATCCAAGTAGAAAATGAGTAACAGAAAAGGCACCAGTACAGTTATCCACACACAGATATTAACAGAAACAGGCTTGGGAAAGAACAGCACAACACAACCAACAGACAAAGAAAACGCATTAGAACAATGTGGTTACAAAGCCGATGAAAACTATACCTGAAAACGATGAATTAAAAGAGGACAGAACAAGACTTAAATGCTACCTGGAAGACACACCACAAAACAGAAATAAAAGAACTGAAAGAACAGATAAATCAAAGAACTCAGAGAACAGACAGGACAGACAGGTAAACAACAGAAGGTGATAACCAGGTGAGAGGAAGTGGAAAGTGGGAACCTACAGTACTCAAGCTGGGGGGAGGGAGTTAGACAAAAAAAGAACAAAGATAAGAAGACAAAATGAGGAGATGATGCACAGGGCAAAAGAGTGCAGAAAACACTGGTAGACAAAGAGATCAGAATCGAGAAAAACAAACAAAAAAAACGGGGGGGAAGATAACATGGTTAGACAAAGTAACAGAAGACAAAGGACATACAATGTGTGCAACAAAGGCCTAAGCAAAACCAACAACAGCACAAAAAATATTTAAAAACAAAATACAAAAAAGAAATTTTAAGAAATAAGGTAAATCTAGAGATTAAAATAACACAGTGTACACCAAAGAAAGGATCACAGAATCTGACATTCTGGACAAGTTACAGCACTCGTAAACAGAAAGGAGAAAAAGAATGTTCTATCAGGTGGAACTATCCCTTCCAATTCAAAAGCTACAAATCATTTTGAACATGCAAAAACAAAACACATTACTTCACATGGCCATTCTGAGGGAAGCAATTAATTATAAGACAACAAAATTTCAAATAGTCTTTTGGAAAAAGATAAAATATACGTTTCACACCAAAAATACAGGAAAATGAAGAAGTACACAAAAAGTTCACAGAAAAAGATATAAATGGTCAAGGCATGAAAAGATGTTCAGACTCAAAATAAGTAAATGGAAATTAAAATTACATTGTGTTTTTTTTTTTTTTTAAAGGAAATCTACCCATTGGCAAAAAGAATCTAAGGTTATCACACACTGTTTAGGCTGAGGGGAAACAAGCCCTCAGACATACTGCCCTTAGGAATGCAAATAAGCACAGTCCCTAGAAAGGAGTTTTCCAAAATGGATTCAATCCTATTAAAACACCCTGACTATACAGTAAGACACGTACAAAATTATTTACTATGCACCACCATTTATAACAGCAAGAGATTAGATTAAAATTCGACTATCCATCAGTAGATGATTCAATACCATGTAACTGTAAAAAGCAATGAGAAAATACCTATGTACTGATATAAAAAGATCTCCACAATAGATCATTAAATCAAAGAAAGCAATCTAACAGTTTATTTACTGTGCTACCTCTTGTATCTGGCAAGAATGAAAAGTAACATATGCTCATATTACTTTGCATTTATATAAAGAGTTAAAGTATATTTAATAAATTTAACTAGGTAAAAAGAGAAAAGTGGCAGAGATGAAACTGGAGAGGAAACAGCCACCTTTCATGGTGTGCCCCTTTATACTGAATTTAAAACATGGGAGGTAATGCCCTGTCGGGTCCTCATTTCCAAGAAAAGATGAAATAATACTGGACATGCCAAAAAGGGCCCCTAAGTGGTGCAACCCAGGGCAAGACAATTAAGAAGTTGTTATTCATTTGGGACAGTGTTGAGGCCACCATGTCAGGGTCACTGCCAGGGCAGTGTCTTCGATGGCTGTGTGCTGCTCAAGCTGTGTGTGAGACTACAGGGCTGTGCAAGCCATTCTATTCATAGCAGGGCAGCTGGGCACAGTTCTCAGGAAGCACCACATGATCCAACACCCCCAGCCTGATGTGCCCCTTGACCTCCAGTAAAGCTGGTGGAAGGAATCAAGTCCCTAAGGACTGAAGAAAAAATGTTCACTGGAAAAAAAATAAACTGGAGATTAAACTTTACATTTTTAATTTTGTGTTTTTTTTAACTTATTCTTTTATTTAAATTCAATTAATTAATATATAGTGTATTATTATTGGTGTCAAAGGTAGATGTCAGTGATTCATCAGGCTTATATAACACCCAGTGTTCATTACATCACATGCCTTCCTTCATGCCCATCACCCAGTTACCCCACCCTTCAACCCCCTCCCCACCAGTGACTCAGTTTGTTTCCTATGATTTAAGAGTCTCTTATGGTTTGTGGAGATTTTACATAAAAAACAAAATAAAACATGTGAAATATTATTTATTTTAAAGAAAAACTTCTCTTACTTTATTTGTGTTTCTTCCCACTGTTTTTAAGAATATAACTTTATGTCTTAATAATATATATGAAGAATGAAGCAGAAAAGCTACCAACCACTTACCTCATTATTTCCTCTCGATCACCATGACTAGCATGTTCTGCTTGTATCTTTTGTCTTAATCTATTAATTTCTTTGTCCAGAATTGATGCCGATTTTTTTACTTCTATCCTTTCTGGGCAGATTTGTCTTGCTTGTGACATTTTCTCCTAAGGTTGTAGATGTTTAATATCTTTAAAAATATAGTAATTCACTGGATAACTTGTGCCCACAAACGCACAGTAAAATCCTGAGCTTAGGATCAGAATTTTACAGGTATTTTAATACCTTGTTATTTCTTTAAGCCTTATGTTGAGAAGAGAATCTAGACTCTTTATACAAATCTTCAAGAGGAAACTGCGTTACTGTGCGCGACTTTAATAATTTCTAATATCTCCCTATCTTCCTAGTGAAATAGACTTCAAGTGGCAGTTATGGAAAGTGTGGCATTTTTCGTAACTGAGGTCAGACAGTTTTCTGTATTTTAGGATGGCCTCTGAACATCAAATAGTACTGAAAATAGAAACAAAAGACCCTCATATTCATAAAATATTTAAAAACTCCAAGTACCTTTACACATAGTACTTATTTTATATTTGTAACATTTCATATAAGTCATAAGCAAGTGAGACAAGCAATCAGAGTTAAAGTTATTTTCCTAAGAAAAGTTGGAATCTACCTCTTCTGGTTAGACCAAGTTTGCCTCTTCAGTGTTATCTAAGACAGGGCTGCTGCTAACAGCTGCTAACAAGGGTGTGTGGTAGTATGCGGGAGCTGAATTCCAGCCCAGTCTATACCCATGCTAACTCAGAGGAAGGGATGCCTTTTTCTGACATAAAGCTCCATTTATTTGCCACGCTGGGCATATAAGGAGCTACAAGTAGCTGAGAGCAAGTGTCACTTTCCAAATTCCTCAGAGACATGAGATTAGACCTGCTGTGTGAGCTAAAGCCTTCTCCATGGTGGGTGGTTTCATTGATTCACTGAAACAACTGTCATTCTATACCAAATGGATATTCATCAGACCCCGTGCCTGTGTTTGAAAACCCGACATTAAGGAAAACACTTTAACAGCCATGACTAAGTTTGTCAACAAAACACAAAAGAAAAATGCTGGATAACCTCTAGTTCTTTTTCTTTCATATCCAGTTCTCGTTTCTTTTTATTTAAAGTATCCAAGTGTTCTTTCTGTTTTTCCTCATAATGCCGCTTTCCTCGTTTTTGGTTATCCAGTTCAGAATCAGCAAGGTTTAATTCATCCTGTTTGAAAAAAGCCAAAATAATCTATAAAGAAAAGTTGTTTAAAAAAAATTACCAGCATAGGTATAAAACTGACAATAAGTGGACAGGGTTACGATGCTTCCAGAGGCAAGTGTTAGAGCTCATATCCAGGTGTATGAATGGAAGTGAGGGGTTTCAACAAATTAAGTCACATTATTATATTCAAATCCTATCATGAAGTCTCCATATATTATGTTGCTTACAACTCTACTTTGGTAAACACGGTAGTTTTATGGAGAGCCACATCAACCTGAACAGACTTAAAAGAACTCAAGTGCTGAATATTTACAGAGGTGATCTGTTTTTCTTTAAGAAGGTGAGTCAGGGTGAAAGAGAAAAGGATGCAAAAAATTTATCACTGACATGTTTAGTCATCATTCTGGAAGTATAACCTCATATTTTAGCACAAAATCTAACTGTAAAGAAGCTATCCCAAGATCACCTTAAAAATAAATAGTAGTGGAGTATGATAAGGTAAAGATGCATATTATAATGCACAGCAACCACTAGAAAAAGAAAAGAGTTATAGCTTAAAAACTAGAAGAAATTTTAAAAAGGAACACTCATAATTACTAGTCTAATCCTATTAAGAGAGGAAATAGGAACAGAACAATGAAAACACAAATAGCAGCAATTACTTTTAAGATTAAATGCTTTCTTTTTAAGACCAAGTACAAGGCAAGGATGTCTAGTCCCATTCTACTCAACACTGCACTGCAGACCCAGGTCACTTCAATTAAAATGTAAAAAGGAAATAAAAAGCATAAATATCAGAAGAGTAAAACCACATTTAAAAAAAGAGATGATTGGAGTGTCTGGGGTGGCTCAGTCAGTTGAGTGTCTGACTCTTGGTTTTAGCTCAGGTCATGATCTCAAGGTTATGGGATTGAGCCCATGGGGAGCTCTGTGCTGAACGTGGAGCCTGCTTGGGATTCTCTCTCCCTCTCTCTCTGCCCTACCCACCCCATACATAAATAAGTAAAATCTTAAAAAAAAAAAAAAAGATTTATTATTTATGAAGAAATTTTGAAGGAAAAGCTTTTTAAATTAATAAGTCAGAAAACTCACTGGATACCAAGCCAAAACAAAAATCAGTAATATTTCTACATGCAAGGAATAATTCAAAAATTAATTAACATCTGTAACATTCACTATAGTATCCAAAACGTCAAACACACACCCAGAATACACAATGAATGCTTTAAAAGTCAACAAGAAAGACACATAACACAAGTAAAAAAAAAGGCAAAGATTTGATCAGACATTTCTCCAAAGAGGATACACACAGGAGCGATAAGAACATGATAATTTGCTCAACAGAATTAGACATAAGGAAAATGAAGAACCACAACAAAGAATCAAAACCATAAAACCACAACAAGAATCAAAACCAAAACAAGAATATTTCAGACTTAAGCAGCTTGCCTGGGTGGCTCAGTCTACCTTTGGCTGAGGTCATGATCCCAGGGTTCTGGGATTAAGCCTCACATGGGGCTCCCTACTCAGCAGGGAGTCTGCTTCTCTCTCTCTCTCTCTCTCTCTCTCTCTCTGACTGCCCCTTGCTCGTGCTCTCTGTCACTATCTCTCTCAAATAAATAAAAAGTTTCTTAAAAAAAAAAAAAGAACACTTCACACTTAACAATATGGTTAAAACAGAAAAGGCATACAATAACAAGTGCTAGTTGGCAAGGATGAGGAGAAACTGGGACACTCAGACGTTGGTGATGGGAATTTGTAAAGCAGTGTACTTTTGAAAATAGTTTAAAAGTTTCTCAAAACACAGCATTAGCATGTAACCTAACAATTCTACTCCTGGGTATTTATCCAAGAGGAAAAAAACATGTACATGAATGTTCATAGTAGCAGTACTCAAAGGGCCAGCAATTGATGGATAAATAAAATGTGATACACAATGGCATATTACTAGGCAATACAAAGTTACAAACTACTGATATATGCTACAACAGGGATGAATGTTGAAAACATACTCAATAATAAGAGGTCAGTCACAAAAGACCACATATTGTATGATTCCACTGACATGAAATGTCAAAATAGACAAATCTATAGAAACAGAAGTAGTGGTTGCCAAGTGGCTGTATAGAATACAAATCCTGAATATATTTTTAGGTTTTAGATGTACATAGAAACATTTCTTTTGAGGAACTGTGAATGGTGTTGTAGTTTTAATTTCAATATCTATATATTCATTGCTAGTGTATAAAAATGTAATTTTTTAAATTTTATTTTTTTAAATTTTATTTATTTATTCATGAGAGACACACACAGAGAGAGGCACAGACACAGGCAGAGGGAGAAGCAGACTCCATGCAGGGAGCCTGACATAGGACTCGATCCCGGGTCTCCAGGATCAAGCCCTGGGCTGAGGGTGGCGCTAAACCGCTGAGCCACCTGGGCTGCCCTAAACATGTAATTGATATGTGGTATGTTTATCTTGTATTCTGTAACTTTGCTGAACTTGTTAGTTCTAGGAGTTTTCTTGTAGATTCCTTGAGGTTTTTTTCTAAGTAGACACTCATAGCGTATCAAAGAGTTTTATTTCTTCCTTTACAACCTATATATCTATTATTTCCTTTTCTTACCATATTGCACTGGTTTGAACTTCCAATACTAACTACATTGAGTAAATGTAGTGAGACAAGCATTTTTACCTTCTTCATGTTAACGAGGTTGTTCCTGGTCTTTAATATGTTGAGAAAATTCCTCTTTATTTCTATTTTTCTGAGGCTTTTAAAAAAAACCACGAATGGGGGAATATTATCAGATATTTTCTCTGTATTAATTGATATAGGATTTCTCCTCTTCAGCCTATTAATACAGTGAAAAGAGTCTTGCATCTCCAGAATAAGTAAACCTGGTGGTCACTGTGAATAATGTATAAAAAGGATATGCATTTTATATAGTCCTTTTTTTTTCTTAAAATATTTTATTTATTTATTTAAGTTTTCCTTAATCTGAAAATGTTTCAATTTTTCTTTTACTCCTGAAAGATAACTTATGCTGGAATTAGCTTATAGTTTGGCTGGTCTCTTCTTCCAGCACTGAAAAATTGTGTTACTTCCATGTGGTCTCTATGATTTCTGATAGAAACTGGCTATCATTCAAATAGTTCCTCCCCACCCCCCCCATATAGGTAAGGTTTTTGTTTTGTTTTTTTGTGTGTGTGCTTTTAAGACTTTTTCTTTGTCTTTAACTTTTAGAAGTTTGACTATGATGTGTCTTATTGTGGATTATTTTGGGTTTATCCTGTTTGGAGTTTACTCCCTTCCTTAATCTGTAAGTTCAGACTTTTTGCCAAATTTGAGAAGGGTACAGCTATTATTTCTTGGAGTATTGTTTTAGCCCTGTCCTCTTTCTCCTCTCTTTTGGGGACTCCAACAATGCAAATGTCATATCTTTGGTTATATAGTCTAAAACAGATTCTTAAAGTGTTATTCATTTTTCAGACTTTTTTTCTTTGGTTTGGTTTAGTCTACTTTCTGTTCAGATTTATAAGGGAAAATAAGGAAAAATTATGAACTACTACATGTTTAATATATGTGATAAACTTCAATGAGACAATAATATCCCTAGCTAGAAAACTTAAGATGCTCAGAATCAACTAAAGAAATTGAATTCATAAAGAAACTACAGGCTACCAAGAAAATTACAGGTCAAGATAGCTTTGCTGGTAAATTAATTAAATATAAAAAAAATAATTCCAAACCTGCAAAAACTTTCAGAAAGGGGAAGGGAAAACACTTCCAAACTCACTTTGTAAGGCCAATATAGCCGTAATTAAAAAAAAAAAAATCAAACACATCACAAGAGAATCAAAAGACTAATGAATAAACATGGGTCAGAAATCTTGAAGAGGATGTCATATATATAACACACACATATGATAGAATGTTAGCCATAATAAAGGCATAATAAAGCCAAAATAAATAAACTGCCATTTGCTACAACATGGATGGAGCTAGAGAGTATTATCCTCGGCAAAATAAATCAGAGAAAGATAGATACTATATGATTTTACTCAAAAGTGGGATTCAAGAAACAAATGAACAAAGGGGGAAAAAAAGAGGCAAATCAAGAAACAGACTCTGAACTGCAGAGAACAAACTGACGGTTATCAGAAGGGAGGTGTGTGTGGGGATGGGCAAAATAGGGGTGGGGATTAAGAAGTGCACTTGTGATGAGCACAGGGTATTGTATCAAATGTTGAATCATGATATTGTACACCCAAAATGAATCTTGTACTGTATGTTAATGAACTGGAATTCAAATAAAAACTTAAAAAAATATTTACCAAAAATCTGATAGATTTAAGAACCACAAAAAGAAAGTTTAGACTAGTAGACAGTTTGTTCATTTAGTTTGATATACAGAGACTTGCACACTAATGATCAGGGCAGCTTTATTTGTAATAGCCCCCAAACTGAAAATCTGTAAGTCCATCAATAGATAAATGAATAAACAAACTGTGATATATTAAATACAATGGAATGCTACCCAGCAATAAAATGAATTACTGATTCAAGTAAAAATATGGACGAATATCATAATCAAAAAGAATAACTTTTATTCTATTCACTTTCAAAATACAGTGTAGACACTATGTTCTAAACAATGTGTTAGGTTCTGAAAAAGGTCAAATCAAAAACATTAACAGTATATAATGTGTGATGCCATTACACACAATTCTAGAATGTAGACTATAGAAATAGCAAGCAGACTGGTAATTGGGGACAAGGGGTAGAGGTGAGAGAGAGAGATTACAAAGGAACATGGTGAAACTTTTGAGGGTGAAGAACAGGTCCCATTCTCTGTGGTTTCACAGGTTATACATGTCAAAACCTATCAAACCTTACATATATTATCAAACACTTACATATATTCACTATACATCAATTATATTTCAATAAAACTGTTTTTAAAAGTCTCCTGATTTAAGGACCACCAAATTAAATTTTATTGTTTGTCGGTTTGTTTTTTTGGGCTTACCACTGATCATACATACTGTGATGATCATGGTCAACCTCAAGAGTTACAGTCAGAAACAGAGAAAGAAACAAACACCAACCAAAACAGCATCAAGAAAGACAGAACATTTGGAAGTATCCCCAAAGGAATACTTTCATTATGTGAAGTAGCTAAAAACTGAAGACATTTACCTCATATAACACGGGATGTAGGCTATCTTCTATCCTAAGAATACAATTTATTGCATCTTGTTCACACTGCTAAAAATAACTATCCCCCATGGTTAATGTGTGATTATAAAAGAGTTCAATTAAAACTATAAACATTGTTACATGGAAAATAGAGAAAAGCTGTTCTTTTACCTCAAACAGAATTTTTAAAATGGGTGCAACTGATGTAATAGGAGACATTACAATGAAACAGGATGGTTGAACACTGAGTTTTCGAATCATTTGTGGTAGGAACTCTCACACTAAATAGGCCCACATTTGCTTCAGGGAGCAAAGGGTAAAGTGTTTCAGGCCATTTCTGTACTGGTTAATCTTCCCTCCTAGCAACTGTGGAAAGGTATGGACTTAACTCACAAAATAGGACGAAAAGAAACGGATCTGAGGTTACTATCTCTTCCTCCATATTTATCATGACTGACCTGTCCTTGTGTACCTAAGTGTATGTCCCGGGTACCATCAAATTTAAAACCAAAAGTGAAGCAGGAGATTACTTTATTTCATTTTATTGATGAAATGAAGGCCTAAAGATATGAACAGCCAGTTAATGACACCAACCTAGGTTCGGCGAGGACTAAGAGGGATTAGGCCTAAAATTAAAGTCTGATGTAACCCTAAACTTGTAGCATTTCTAAACTTTAAGAAGTTATAGTCTTTAAAAAATAGGTTAGGATGGTAGAAGAAACATAATCACTAAAAAATGTTATTCTCTTGGATATTTAAGATAACCAGTTTTACTCAGCAACATTGGATAAATTGTATTTAATTTGGTATTATTATTGCCTCTTGTTTCATATAAACCTATGTCAATTATGAGGTTTTTAAAAACATTATGTTGGAATTTTTAAGAGCACAGTCACCCTTGGCCCGAACAAACTCTTTAAATCAGAAACTGAGAGTCCTTCCTACTCTAATAATACAGACCATTTCTCTTTGTAGGCTCGATGTCGGTCATGCTCCCTGTCCGACAAATTTAACTTGCAACTAAAACTAAAGCATTAAGTTTGCAGTGTAAATCAAAACAAACTGTTCAAAGTGAGAAAAATATTCCCTGTACCAAGATTTCAATGACTATATATCTAAAACAGAGTACTTTACCCCTCACCACCCCTGACACAAAATGAACAATTGTCCTAAAAGCAGACAGATTACACCTTAAAGCTGCTAATATATCACGATGGCAGTGTCTCAGGAATTATTTTGTTAGCCTGTTGGTCCTGCTGTTATGGATGGCTAGTGGGACACGACACTGGGGAGGAAAAGCCTCTGGGCTATTGGCTGACTGCATGCAAGTTCACTGAAGGACTCACCTCCTGGCTTTCAGTTATTTGCAGCCAATGCAAAGAGCTAAGATCAAGAATCGTTACTGCCTTCTGCCCATATTTTCTGCTCTTAAACTTACTCAAACTCCCAATTCCAGGAGTTGCATTCCTAAAGGTCCCTAAAAGAACAGAACACAGCTTACACTTCGTCATTTCTTGTTTTGAATTTTAAGTTGTCTGCAATGAATAATTTAGGTACCAACATTTCCTTTTCTATGTTGTTTTAATGCATTTCATCCTTTTAAGTCACCCTGTTTCATCCCTAACCCATTTAAAATATTTTTTAATCCTATCTTTGTTGTGACTTCACTGCTCTAATTCCTGAGTTCTGAATTCTACCTGTCTATTCCTGACGATTTTAATATTTATCTTACTCTGTCTTACTTTGTTTTCTTTTAAAAACTAATTTTCTTCTATTTTAGGCTTTTTACCTTCTTATTCCCTATAGCACCTAAAGCAATCCCTTTATTATTTTTCTCAATATTACCAATACATTTTCTTTCCTACAATTCTAATATTTAAACTTTATATTCTTCTTAATCAATTAACTGTTTTCTCATTTTTAAATTCTTGTCACAAATAGAAAAGAGTCAAGCTGCCCTGGGTTATAACATCAGGCAGGAATCCAGCCCCTGGACACCAGCTCCAATGACCCAGCACCGTGTTTCCAGGCAGCACATCTCTGGCACCTTCTCCCAACTCTGTAAGCCAGAGTTTTTAAAATTTTCAATGGACACAAGTATAATAAACATTACATGCATGATTCTTTTAAGCTATTAGCATATCTAAATCCATTTTGATTCAAAAGGAGTTTTCCTGCCCCAAAAAAGGGGTACGTTGAAATTGTATCATCAACATACCCTTCTCAGACTCCTAAAATATACTACTATTCATTCTTCAGTCTTATAAATAAAATTTAAAGTTCTGAGAGTAATTGAACTATTCATAAAAATGATAATGACAATAAGCTACTGATAACTAAGCTAATAAACACACAGGGAGATGTACATAGTTTGTTAAATAATTTTATTTTCCTAAATTTAGTTTCAAAAAAGTATTTTTTTTAAAAGGCCAGTTTAATTCAAGCTGGAATATTAACAGAGATGTGTCAGAAACAAGAATTCAGTAGCATTTTATGTCAAGTTGGCTTTTATATCTAATATATATAACTCTATTTTTATATAATTAATCCCTGAATTACTCAAGGAAAGCAAAGAGGGATAAAAGAATAGGTGAGCACAGAAGCAGAACAGATGGACAAGATATCTCTGCTTCTGGTTCTAAAAAAAGAAGAAAATCACACACAAAAAAACCCTATAATCTTCTAAGGGAAACAAATTTGGCAACTTATTGTCCTAAAGACATGAACAGAAGTATTTATTTCTAATTGACCTACTGATGAAAATTTGGTTTACATCCCATTTACGTGGTTACATTAACTTTGACCAGAAATTCTGTTAGGGAAATACCTAGCAAGTACAGTGTAGATACACAACTGAAATGTCAAATACACATGTAACAGAGTAACAAGAACATATACCTTAAGTGGTTCTGCTAGGTCTGAGAGCTGATTAATTTTCTGTTTAATTGTATCATACTTGTTTTCTGCTTCTATTTTGAGATTTTTAAGATGTTCCATATTTTCTTTTTGTTCTTCCATATTTTTCTCAACCATTTTCATTTTGATTTTATTTTCTTGAGCTTCATCTTCCTGGTTACATTTACAAAGCAAATGGAGTTAATTAAAATACTTAAATTATGAACTAGAAAAACAGTGCAAAATTCTGAGAGAAGAAACACTATAGGCTCCAGGCAATCTGATGAAAGACAAACACAAAGAAAGCCAGTGTATTTTCATACACTTAGTGGTCACTCAGGAAGAACAAGACAATGATTCAACAAAAAGACATCTGGGAGACAAGTTAAACTATACTGTGATTGAAAAGTCATAATCAAACAGAAGAACTTTTATTTTATCTAGTTACTCTTTCTTTCAAAACTCAGTGTATATATGTACCTAACTAGTGCCAGGCAATATGTTAGATGATGAGTAAACAAAAATAAACAAGACATACTTCATAACTTTAAGAAATCTAAGGAATTAAAGTGAAACAAAATAAACAGTGGAGAATGAGATTACTAATAGAAAACAAAGACAAATTCTCATTCAGGTAAAGTTCCATCAGTACCAGGACTTTATCGGTCTTGTTCACTGTAATATCCTCCAGCACTTAATATGGTACCTGGTGCAAAGTGGATACTTAATAAATACTCATTCATTTTAACCAGACCTCAATCTATCTAATCCACTGCTTACTGTAACTCAGGGAAGCTAAGCTGAATGTCATAAATAGTCCCCTGAAAAAAACAAGAGTAACAAACGTGTGATAAATTAAAATGAAAACCAATTTCTTGGGGGAAAAACTCCAATAATGCAGAGAACAACTACAATGGACTAAAAGATACTAATATTAATATTCATTAATTATGAAATATACTATGCTAGGCAGTTTGGTTTGAAAACACGTTTAGAAGCACACTGTTTAAGCTTCGACAGTAGAAGACAAAATCAATTACTATGCATGCAAGTTACATATACAAAATATTAAAGAACTTGAATGCAATAAGCCAGGTAGTTTCCACCTTATTTGCAAATAAAGACAGCGATCATAAAAAGGAGCCCCAATTAAAGGATTAAAAAAAGGCTGAGGATCGTAGATGTTAACCTAAATGACAGTTTTGTCCTTTAACATTTACATTTAAACTGAGGAAAAGAATCTTACCAACGTTGCAATATCTACAGACTGGTGTTCTTCTATATTCTCAAGCTCCCGAATTTCAGAAATACTTTCTGTTATTTTTACCTGGAAAAAAAGTATTTCAATTTTAGTAACATAAAATAAAATAAAGGGGTGCCTGGCTAACTCAATCAGTAGAGCATGTGACTCTTGATCTCAGGGTTGTGAGTTCATGCCCCTTGTTAGGTGTAGAGATTAGGTTCACTTTAAAAATAAATAAATTAAATAAATTAAATTAAACAAACAAACAAACAAATAAACGAACGAACAAATAAATAAATAAATAAATAAATAAATAAATAAATAAATAAATAAATAAAAAAAATCCCCAGAAAGGATTATATTAGTCCACAAAGCCCTTACTCTGCTTTTGTTACAGAGGGTACCGTAGCTAATGAAAGAAACACTTTAGGATTAAATGAACAAAAGGAAGGGGTGTAATAAAGTCTTTCATAGTCACCCTTATTGCTAATCCGCTCCCATTAAAAAAAGATGGAAGGACTCCATCTTAGCATTTAAAATGACAACGTTGAATTCAGTAAGAAAATCCTTTTCTGAAACACCCAGATTGAGGTTATGGCAAAATACTCTAATCTGGTGCTTCACAAGTATGACCCAAGCACCTCCTGGTGCTTCTGAGACTCTTTCAAGGAGTCATAAGGTCAAACTATTTTCATAAAAAAACTAAGATATTATGCACCCTTTATACTATTTAAAAAATATAAAAATTTCATTTTTCTCACTAAATATTTTTGGTTTTGGAAAAATATACCTATTTTCCATAAAAGTGTTATTTTCGTTAACACATGAGTTTTTTTTAAGCGAACCAACAAATATTCTTGAAGTTTATTTTAACTTTCAATAATTAGGTAAAACCCACATAAGGGAAAGCTCTTTTAAGACTATAAAGAGGCTTGAGGGAAAAAGTTTGAGAACTCCTCTAAAACTAAATGAATGGTAGGACCTTAAAAATAACTTGGAAGTGGATAAGAAAAAAAAAAAGACATATATATATATATATATATATATTTTTTACCTTTAACTCTCTATAATGTATTTGGCGCCTTCTAAGAAATTCTTCATTGTGCTTAATATCCTTTTCAAGGGCAGACAAATGTTGCTGAAGATTTAATATCTGGGCCTTCTTATTTTCAACTTCATTCTCCAAGTCACTGGATAGAGAGAAGAGGATAAGAAACACCTTTTGTATTTCCGAAATTTACAATTACTTAGGTCTTTATAAATATAGAAGAGCTTGTTTGTGATGACACACTTGTAAAATCCTATTCTGTTAAACCAGCTCTATATTCCTACTAAGTTATTAGTAACATGAAAATATAGCAATTTAAAAAGATATCTAAACTGGAATCTTATTTTACTCATTTCATTAAGACATATTTATGATTTCTATGTGGCAGGCATCATGCACAGTGATAGGTAGAGGTGGAAGCAGAATTAAGACATGAAGGAATCAAACAAAAAGGGGGAAAATCAGGAAATAGGTTGTAATGTTAAACTATGAACAGGACAGTATATAACCACAGAACCATGGGCACACAGGAGTGAGTCTTGGAGAAGTGACAACTGAACCGTATTTTCTAAAGATTTCCTCGGCTGGACCAACTATGGGACATGGAAAGACACATGCCGAAGCACAGAGAAGTGAAAAAAAGAAAGCTGACAGCTCAACAGGTACTGTCATTGGATAAATGCTCCAAATGTGCGGGAGTGAAAGGGGTGGAGAAGAGGACAATGAGAAGAGATGGAAGAAAAAGGAGATGCCAAAGCCATACAGGGTCTCTATGACAGCAGTCACTGTCTTGAGAAGTCACCTCTTCCCGCCTCCTGGACCCAAGCACCTGTCTCCTAGAGTTGTATGCCTGGTGGGAGAGAACTACCTTTGCAGTTAAAAGTTTGTCTCTGACTGACATTGTCTGCCGTATTTCAGTAAGATATATATTTTTCCACATTTTAACATCTCTGAAATCATATTCCAGTTCATGGTTCAATTAGCAGCATTTTTTCTTTTTAATAACAGAGCGGCTTAAATTTGATGAAATACTCTGTGCTACTTTGCCAGAATCCTCAAAATCAGAAAAAGACTCAATAAATGTTAGCTGAATAAATGATAAACATGAGGAAAGTAGGAAAATAACTGGTATTTCTGTTAAAAATGGAGCCAGATACAAAAACTTAAGATAGCCCAAGATTTAATAAGAAATATTTATCATACAAATATATACTTTTATTAACAAACAATTCCACTAAAAATAAAATATTTACCAAGTAAACAAACTTTGAAACCCAGAGCCGAAATCAAAAATAAGAAAATAAGCACAGACAATATTCTGTTAATACAATTTCCTGAATACTTAAAATAAACTTAAGCAATCAACATAATTTATATAAACAAAACTGCTAAATTGTACAACTTCCTTTTTGCATCACAGGATGAATTCTGTGACACACTTTCATATAGTGGTCCTCAGTTTTTAATGAATTATTACATGGAGCAAGAACCTTTGCCACCTAATCAAACAGGTGCAGTAGCTGAGCTGAGTGTTGTGTGCATCGCTTGCAGGGGATGAACAGAGGCCCCTGAGCTGCCTATCTACACACACCTCAGTCTCCAGCCCTGACTCTGCTGTGTTTGTCTCCAAAGCACGTGACCCAGTTAGTATTTATATATAGTCTCTCTCCCTCTTCTTAACCTAAGCTCCAGGATGAGAAATTTTTTGTACTTTATTTTGTGCTGTGCCTTGTGCCCAGATCAGGGCCTGGCCATTAAGTACTCATTCAGTACTTGTTTTAAAGAATAAATTTGAAAAACTCACTTTGGAAAATTACATTAAAAATGTTAGAGTATTTTGGCAATTCAAAAATCCACAGGTAAACTTTTTTTTATGATCTCGTATGTAAGCATTAACTACACCGGAATTATTCTGAGAGCCACCTTATACATTTGTCTTGCAGCTTATGTATACTTTCATCATGGGAAACCACACTGGGATAATCAAACCAAATCAGTACTTGTACTTAAGACCTAAAACCCTCTGCCTATTAAAAAGTCACTCTGTTCGTTATGAAATTATGAAATACACTATAATCTTTTCGCTTAAATTCTAGAGCCGTTTTTCATCATTAGAAATCTGTCAGTGCTGAGTTAAAGAGGGCAACCTTCATATACTCATAGTATGGGGGGAAATCGGGGAATCTTTCTAGTCATTTAGCCATCGCTGTTAAATGGTCAACTTATACAAAAATAAAATAATGTTAAATTATGTATTTTAATAACTATTAAAGCTCATTATTATACATATTACAAATATTAGTAATTGCTTAATATTATTTAAAATCAAACCATAAATTCTATATTAACATATCAATTATAGTCATTTGGAAGCAGCTATTAAGTAATTTAAAAATTTATATATCCTCTTACTTAGCATTTCCCTTATTAAGAATTTAAGCTATGCACACACTTTCAAAAATATGCCAAGATCCACGTGTGTTCTCCCTGCAGCATGATATAAGAGGAAATGGCAAACACTCCTATGTCCATCAACAGCGAACTGGCTAAGCAGCGTACTGGTACAGCCATACTGAGAGGTAGTTCTAAATGTCCTGATATGGTATGACTGCCAAGATATAACACTGACAGAAAAAAAGCAAGATGTAGAAACCATATACATAACTTATACATAGCACAGTATGGATGAACTTTATACCTAAATAGAAGAAACCAGGCACAAAATGTTGCACAGTATATTTTCATTTATATGAAATATCCAGAATAGTCTAATCCATAAACAGATTAATGGTTTCCAGGAGTTGGGAATTGTGGAAGTAAAGATTAATGGGTATAGGTTTTCTTTTTAATGTGATAAAAAATGTTCAGGAATTAGCCAACCTTGATGGCTGCACAAGCCTGTGAATGTAATAAAAATCTCTAAATTGTATGCTTTAAAATAGAGTGAATTTTTATAGTATGTGAATTATATCTCAATTTAAAAAGTCACTATATATGGTACAAAGATGTAAACTGTTCTGGAAACATATACAAGAAACTGCTAAACTATTTACTTCTGAAAGAGAGGTAAGAACAGTTTCACTCTGTATACTTTTCTACACTGAACTTTCTCACCATATGCATTATATATTCCCTTTATTAATTGCTTTTTAAAAAGTCAACAAGGACAATGGAGAAACACAATTATAAACTACTTTTGTTTCCCAATTTGTACTCTTCTATATTTAAAAAATACTAGTGAATTTTTCTAAACTTCCCAGTATCAAGCAACTATCACACTGGTTCAGGTCAAAAGAGATGACACAAAAGTCATCTAAATATCATTAGAACCTAGTATATCCTCTGTTTTTAAAAATTTTTTTGAAGAAAATCCAGGAATTTTATTTCCTCCACTGCCTTCATCATCTCCTTCCTACATTCTTTCAGACTTGACTTTTTTAGCTATTAGCCTTTCTCTCTTTTGAGGTGTTGTTTACATACAATATTATATTAGTCTCAGGTGTACAACACAGTGATTCAAAATGTATATACATTATGAAGTGACCACCAAAATAAATCTAGCAGCTGTCACCAAAGTTGTTAAAATATTAGTATTATTTATTGTTAATGATATTCCCTATGCTGTACATTACACTTCTATGACTTACTTATTTTCCAACTGGAAGTCTATACCTTTTAATCTCCTTCCCCCTTTTCAGCCATCTCCTCATCCCTCTCCCCTCTGGAGAGAGACTGTTTAACCACCAGATTGTTCTCCATATTTATGTGTTGGTTTCTGTTTGTTTTGTTCTTTAGATTGCACATATAAATGAAATCATACAGTATGTCTTTCTCTGACTTACTCAAATTAACATAATACCCAGAACTTGGTATACTTACAATCAATAAAGTTTATCAATGTGGGAAACCTTTAAAAAAAAAAAAAACCACTGTTCGTCTGGGTCTTAAAACAAAAGATATGTACCCTACGCATTAATACAAATACTATTAGCCAAAAAATGAAGCTAAGTATCAACTTGAAACCTTTATCACTAAAATGTTAGAATCAGAGATTACAATTTGCTGCTGAGGTATACTTACAATCTTTTCCTAAAGTGCCTTACTTCCTTTTTTTTTTTTTTTTTTTAAGACTTAGGACACAAATACCCTATCAAAGAGACTCAGTGACAAATGTGGGGTTGGTTAGTGCCAGGCCACCAAGTTGCTGGTCATCCAATTTTTCTCTGTTGCTAAGTAAGAAGTTTTACCAAACTTTCTGACTGATATCCATTATGGCTATTTTTCTTTATGCTGCTTGTCATAGTCACACAAAAATGACTAAGATTATTCGAAAGCAAGAGATTTCAACAAAACTCTCATTTCCCCTACACCTGCAAGTCATTTAGAATACTTTCACTTTTACTCACTTTTCTTAGGTGTTTATTTTACATAAGTTCTAAGTCCTTCTACTGAAGGCCTTGCAGGTCACTAATTTAGTTCCAACCTATCAATTTGCTAACTGAATTAGTTTTGTTAGAAAATCATGGTTTTTTTGGTACCAAAAATATTTTCTGCCATGTTTATGAATTTCATTAAATACACTTACTAGTTTTTGTTCAACTTTTCACTTTGTCTCCTTTGGCAGCTCTATTGTTCTAGATATGTGTTCTAATTGTGCCAAATGACCTTCTTAGAACAGTGCAACTCAAAATACAGTCAGAGACACAATACAGAACTTGAGCCAGAATGTAAACCAGCACACCTAAACTCTCACTGAGCAGAGTCAGAGCTAAATGACAGGACAGTGGTATAGCTGATGTATATTCTGAATTCAGCTATCTCCCTGCAAATCAGCTGGTCAAGGGAACACACTTCGTGCTCTTAGCAAATACGGTCGTCAAAGTAATGATGGAAAACAACCATCAACCCAGAATTCTACATCCAACTAAATGATCTTTTAAGCCTGAACAGATCACTCACAATCCTTCACTGAAATAACTACTAATGGAATAATATGAAGGGAACCAAACCCTACAAAAAGCAGTAGGAATGCCAAAATAACACTATACTGACACTAACCTTATCTCAGAATCCACATCTTTGCTTAGGAATTTAGGTCTTGTATTTTCAGATGAATAGTAACGTCCTGCAAAGACTTGGTCACCATCAGCAGTAAAAGCTTCTCTACAATTCTTGGGTGGCTTTTGAGATTGCATTACTGCACGAGCTACAGAATTATTCTGAAAAATAAGGGGAAAAAATAGATTTTTGAAGTTATGCCATAGCATTTCTGATACACAACTTCAGAATGTTACCTATCATTATTTTAAGATTCAAGTATTTTTTATTTAAACATTTATTTAAACATAAGTAAAATAATTCCAGAAAGTTAAATAAGAGTTTCAAAATCAACTCTCAAGATGCAAAGAATTAAAACTATTGACAGTCTTTAGGACAGAGTAAGCAATGCTTTATGAGAAATTGATTTAAGTTCTAATATTACTATCCATTAAAATTAAAAATTTTAGTACATTTTTAGTACATTAATTAGTACATTAAGTACATTTCCACATGAAAATATTTACTTTAGGCCAGAGTTCATACAAATCTTACTTTTTCTAAATAACTTTTACAGCCTGAAAAAAAAAAAAGATGTCAGTGAACAGCAAATTGTAATAAAAGATTAATATGCTGAATCATGTGAGGAAAGCCTGGAAATAAGCCCTAGAAGAAGTTAAAAGGGCATGAGGCTTAATGGAGGCCTATCTATCTTCTGGGGACAGGCAAGAGTTCTTCATTATTTTCTTTCAAGTATCCTTCTAACATGTAAGTGAGCAAAGCCCACAAATAATTACAATATGACCTTGCAACAACTGTATATACATTTAAATTACTGATACGATTACTTCTGCCTTACCATTAATGAGAAAAACAAACTCTACATTTGTTTTGATTAGATTTGTTTTGAATTTCCTGTTCCTTCACAGTAAATTTGTGCCAATGAACATCTAATCCAAGAATACACAGATGAAGAGTAAATACTGATCTTTTTACAATACTTTCAAAGTTTTTTTTTTTTTTTTAAAGATTTTATTTATTTATTCATGAGAGACACAGAGAGAGAGGCAGAGACACAGGCAGAGGGAGAAGCAGGCTCCATGCAGGGAGCCCGATGCGGGACTTGATCCCAGGTCTCCAGGATCACACCCCAGGCCGCAGGCGGCACCAAACCGCTGCGCCACCGGGGCTGCCCACTTTCAAAGTTTTGATAAAAGAACTCATAAAATATTGAGCATTTGTTTAAAAACAAAATAATAATACACATATAAAATGGTAAATAAAAAATGAATTTGGTAGCCAATCCATAAACAAAAAGAATAAACAACAAAATAGAATAAGAATAAACAACAAAAAAATTATAGCATCATTCACCAAAATAGTATGTATTTGTGAAACATTTACTGAGGAATAGCCAAAAGTATAAAGTTCCCCTAGGCAGAAAATGCGTAAACCAACCAGCTCTCTATTATTCTATGGTTTCCTATGAGGTAAAAGTACAGTAGTAAAACATATTAATAACTCTATAATACAGAATGGGAATAGGAATTTATATAACCAATCCAGTTCTGAAAATTTAAAAGTAATATAAAATTCAGCAAGCATCTTATCTTACTTTGATCAGAAGCACTGTCTCTATGCTTCTCATGTCAATCAGGCTGTTTGCAACTACTGCATTATCTATTTCTAAAGCTGTCAGGACTGTTGGAAACTCTGGATGATAAGCAGCTCTAGGAAACAAAAATATACAAGTATTAATTTATCAAACTTTAATTTTATACATATATCTTTTTAATGTGTGACTGGATAAGACAATGGAAAATATAACATTTGAAAACATCTGTTAATAGGTTTAAAGAACAAACATTTATATTAAGTGCTAGATACTCTAAGAATATTATGAATAACATTAGCCCATTTAATCCTCATAATAACCATGGGATTGATAATATTATTCTCTAATTTAAAGGAGTTTGTTCTTAAGATGGAGGAGGCAAAACACTGACCTAGGATGTTTCAAAAGGAGAGAAGTCAACGTAGTAGGAAAGTTTAAGGTTCAGGAGAGAGTTGAAACAATTAAAAATAACAGTTCAACAAATCAGTTGGCAAGAAAGCATACAATTCAGAGACTACATAGAATAATAACAACTTTAGAGAAAAAGAGCATCTCTTCTGCTGAGCAGGATAGGATGTGCAGATGTAGACACAGTTATGGGTAGCCAGCACACTGAGCAGCTTCAGCAGCCTGTACTTCAAGGGGAATAAAGCCATCTTTATAGGAAAGGAAACACTTCCTAGTATTTCCTGGGGAGCTATACACTTTTCCAGGCTCCTCTTTTGAGTTTGTCTAACTAATGTGAGCTTAATATACCTGATTCATTTTAATATTCCAATGGTGTTTTATTCTTCCTTTCTACATTAAAGTAACACGCCCAATTTTAAAATTTTAGCGTTTGAACTGCAATATGTACTGATAAAGTTCTTCACAAAAAAGTCACTCCTCCAAAATGTCTGTAGACAGCTGAAGTTGAGAGAGTATTAAATGTACCCAACTTATGAATATTCTGTCAACACCTAAAAGTAACATCCAACTTCTTCTACTTGAAGTCCACCAACTTGAACTTCAGCCTAATACCAAACTGCTCTGAAAGGCAAACATGGAGTTTGTAATGCCCTGAAGCTACTCCATTAACCTTGAACTTCCCACGAGTTACAGCTAGAGCCTTCCCAGCTGACCATGCCTTATTAAAACTGCTAACTGCATCCAGCAGATCTATGGAGGCTTGCAGGCCTCACTTTCTTTGCCTCCAGCCTAGGCCTCATGGTCAATCAATGAACTACTTTCCAAGCAGCATTTTTTTCAGTTGATTCCCTCTTCTTCTATAATATCTACCCATTCTAAAAAATTCTAATGTAGTATTAACCCAACAGTATACATTCTCTACCTATTAAAAAGCCAAAAATCCTGTGGTCACCACGAGCGTTTGAATCCTGAGTGGATGTTGGTTCAGTTTCCTCTCTCACTCTCCCAAACCTACCTAACTCCTGAGGCCCTCTTTCACAGCACACTGATTCACCTATTTCAAAGAAGTGACATCATGCTGCACAAATGGAGCTCGCTCTGCACCCTGTCACAGGAGGAGATACATTGCTGGGAGCCTGCAAATACAATCACTGGGAAACACAGTGTGCCAGTAGGGCAGTGCCAGGCATTCCTATTCATGGGAGTCCACACACAAATCATGGAGCAGTCCCAACAGCTGTTCAGGACCCCTGTTCCTGGTTCCCAAAGGACAGCGCTGGTATAGGAGGATATTCCCTCACAGAAGTCAATCTCTCATAGCAATATCCCAGGGATAGTTTCCAAGGCCCCTGTAGGGAAACGCCTAATTGCAAGTCACCATATTGGCATTCTACCAAGCACTCAAGTTCTCTCACTCTAGATGCAACTAGCCTGACAGGGGTCATTTTTTACCATAACCATTGTTGTCTGGTAGCACAACTGAAATTTCACTTTTGTCAGGATTTAGAAATCAGGAATCAAAGTTAGAAACTAATGTAAGGCCAAATTTTCATGCACACTGGGAAAACCGTTTACCTCTAACTCCCAAATACTTATTTCTAACCTAAAAGCTCAAAGTTGACAATTCTACAATAGGACTTATCCAATATTGACAAATCCACTTTTACCGCACTTTTTCTAAACCAATTACTAGCACAACAGCTCAGTAGTCACTTGAGCCAGAGACCTAGTGGTTATCCTCAATTCTTTCATTCTCTTACATTTAATTAACAAGTTTTATTGATTTCTTCCTAAATAATGGTTTTATTATTTTTTAAAGGCTTAAGTATTTATTGGAGAGAGAAAAAGCACATACTTACGCACAACCACAATGAGAGGGGCAGAAAGGGAGAGAGAGAATCCTAAGCAGAATTCCTGCTAAGAGAGGAACTCAACACAGGGCTTGATCTCACAACCCTGAGATCATAACTTGAGCTGAAACCAAGAGTCAGATGCACAACCAGCTGAGCCACCCAGGCACCCCTAAATACTGTTTTTAATCTGCCCTTGTTATCTATAATGCAAACACTATTTTTCGCGGAATAATTTATGTCATGGCTCTATGCATTTTGCACATAGAATTCTATTTGCTTAAAAGGCAGTTAACCCGTCATTTGACAAATTCATCAGGTCTGAAGAATGATCACTTCTCCTCTTTTCTCTAATTTCTTCGCTAACCTACCAACATATAATTACTCTCTCATCTGAGCTACATATGCATTCTGTGATCCAATTTTACCAAAGCTGACAAAGAATGAAAGAGAAAATATGTATTATATTTGGAAGTAAAGTGATTAGCCAGTCAGCAGTTATCAAAGAGGCTGGTTTAAGTACGGTGCCCTTGAGAAAATTTTTTAGGGTCATCAAAGAAAATGACCACAGCTCTTTATGGAATCTGCAAAGCACCTTAAGAGTTGAACTGTTAAGTACTCAGTGCCAAAGCTCTTCTTTAGTATCCCTACCCCCACATTCCCCTTAATTTGCTGTGGTCTGTATCACTTTCCTTAGTATAATTTCCATGCCCCACCACATCTCTTCCACTGTACTGGCTCCCACCACAGACCTCATGTAAGGAGCTCAAGGGCAGGGAACATGTCTTAATTAGCTATGTATCTCCAGTACCTAGACTGAAGTTAAAGAAGTGGCTTGATGAAATTTCATAAATCAGTACTATAGATTTAGTTAACATAAAAATGTCTTAATTCTTTCTTATCTTGGACATGATTAAGCAAAACCAGAAATGGCATTTAGCTACTGATGCCTCACCTGTGTCTTACGTCATACATCTCATTCTGAAACTCAGAAACTATTATCTGTGGCCGTGAGGTCCCTCGTGAATAAAACCTTTCCATCAGTGCCTGGAGAACTCTTTCATCGGCATGGTTATGGCAACAATAGGCCTGCAGAAGTCCTTTCAAGCAAGATTCGATAGCCAAAGCAAGTTCAGGGTCGCGAAGATGAATGCAAGCTCCTAAAAGTGAGAGAAAATTGTGAAAAGGCCCATAAATATTTTGAAATATTAATGTAAATATCTTTTTATAATAGTTTATAAATGACGTCCAAAATATTTTCATATAAAGAAGCTTACATGACATTACAGATCTTATGTTAACTAAATGTGAGATCCCCACATATCCATTGGATACACTGGGGAGAAAACCCATCAAGTCCTGTGAAAAGAACTGCCTCACTCACTCCAGTGTAAATGAACAGATGTTTTTCTATATAAGTGTATATTATTCCAGGCTCTGAATGGCATTTTGAAAAGGAAACCAAACTGTTTATAGATTCTTTATTATTTTCTGTAAAACTGATTAATACTGAAATTTTAGAAACAGAGAGAAAATGCCTCATCTGTGGAAATGGATCCTGGTATAGAGGTCTGTAGCATTTACATGAAGAGACCTTACTGTAACACTTAACATCGTGTATAATGCTGTACTTACACAGTAATACCTTGCTTTAGCAACAATACATATTTCTATTAACAGCATCATTTTCACTTAATGATATTACAGAATTAGAGATAACTTCTCAGGAGAATTCAACAAATATTTTTTTTAATCTCATATATATATATGGATAATTCAATAAACCCAGGTTTTCCACTTGAAAAGGACTTTTTTTTTTAAGGTTTTATTTATTTATTCATGAGAGTAGAGACATAGAGAGGCAGAGACATAAGCTTCCTTCAGGGAGACCAATGTGGAACTTGATCCCGGGATCACGCCCTGAGCCTAAGGCAGACACTCAACCAATGAGTCACCCAGGTGTCCCTGAAAAGGACTTAAAAACAATGTTGTCCTACCTTAATAGAAACTAAGAAAAGATATTTTATAAAGGTGACACAAAACTCAGGTGGTGAGGGTTCTTCTGACTGTACTACTATGTCACTGGATTTTCCAACTAATCAATTATTTCCAACTAATTAATATTCAAATTAGCTCATTTATTTATTCATTCATTTAGGGAAAAAAATCAGATTATTCAACCCTATAGATACCTTTTTTCCCCTAAGTTCTCTTGCTTTTGGTTACTTTATGCTTTAAAAATAAAGGGAAATTATAAAGTGATTTTTATCATTATTTCTTAAAATATAGATAATTAAAATCCACATATAATTATGCACCTCTTACATAGATTCAGAAGATCCTTTCCTGAAAATAAAACATTATTTTTAATGTTTCCTATATCCTGAGCAAATGGTGACAAATACCTAAAGGACCCACAGGTTTACAGGTAAAATGCCCACGCTTGTAGGCATCATCTATTGCTTCAAGAAGGGCTGGAACATGAGGGCCAAATCTTTTTAGTCGATCAGTTTTACTATCTTTCAATTCTTTCAGTTGCCTCTGATTATAGCTCAGTGTATGCTTCACATCTAATTCTTCCCTCCTAAAAAAAAAAAAAGCAGAAAAACAGAAGAGATATGTGATACTGTTATACAGAAATATCCAGCCTTTCCCTCTAACACCTGCATGCCAGTGAATGACTCGGCTAACTAAAGACGAAATTGAAAATGACTGTGTTACTAGAGAAAAAGTCTCAAGTCCTCAAAACTTAGCACGAAAATAATGATGCCACAGGGATGAGGACTAGAAATCTCAGAAATTGTCCAGCTCTACAAGTGTTAGAAAACTCTGAGAAAGGTAATTTTAAATATTTTACTCAATACAAGAAACAGCAACCACAACAAAACATATTGTCTCTCTTCATATAAAGACCAAACCACATGATTTTCAAATCATTGAAAAAAATCATTCTAAGGTCGTTGAAACTTACTTAATTCTGATCCGTTCTTCGTTGTCCTTTTCTATGGCTTGCTGAAACTGCTCAATCTCTTGATTGATTGAGCTTTCTTGATCCTGCAAGGCCTTTACTCTCTCTTTTAACCAAGATATTTTTTTTTGCCTTTCCAATCGTTCAGGTTCCAAAGATTGATCGGTACTAATAGTAAATAACCCAAAGTAGAAAATGTTACGTGGAAAATTGAACATTTAAAAAATACAAAGCAATGTGATAAAATTCCTTTAGAAACAATATGGAAAATACTCCACTTCACTGAGTTCACTGTATTAAAATGAGGTAATCATGAACATGGTCAAGTAACCATCTTACCTTTTCTTTAGTTCTTCAATTCTTTTGCAAAGCTGCTCATCATCTTTCATTAATGCTTTATACTCATTTAGAGAACGATTATATAAAACCTAACAAAAAAATCAGACACACTTTGGTAAGATAATATATATATATATCCCATTCAAATCCACTTTTGCCAAATCTTCAAATCAGAAGATTTTGCTAAATATATGCAAAAGTATTTTTTTTAAATAAAGTACTTAAACAGCCATATGAAACCATTACATTTTTTGAAGTCTGAAAGCACAGATTTCTACCGAATCACAAAACCTCTACTTTTAAAAGTAAATGGACAGTATCTTATATTTGATCTGAAGTATTTAATATTCCAGGTTGGAAAAATTTCTCTCACCTCAGCTTCATTATAGACCTTTTTCTTAGCAGTAACATCTGTTCTCAATGCCATACATTCTGGTGCTCGTGCATTTGTCTCTTGACTTATCTTTTCCAGTTTATCTTGAATATCTTTGTATTTTTTTTCTGCTTCATTAAGTCTAACCTTTAAGAAAATAACATTGTTAGAGTGGATTTTACTTTTCTTCAATAAACAGGAAAAAAAATTTAAATTATAATACAGCAAATAGCAAACTTAGTTTCACTCAGACTAAATAATCTCAAGACATTAGGGAGGCAAACATAATTATATAAAATACTAAAATATAATTTTTAATTCCACATTTAGTTATCCAACAAACATGCTATCTTCTGGGGATATAAAGATAGAGTAACAATGGTCGGCAAGTAACACAATTAAAGGGAGACAGACACAATTTAACAGCAGAACAGATTGCTTAAATTGATTATACGGTTTGGTTACAATAATGCTTAAACTTGCTATGTCTATTTATAATCATGGAAGCACAGAGAAAGAACCCAGAGGTCTGCCAGAACAAGTCAATGCTTTCAAAGCAGCAGCAGCATTTGAACAGAGACTAGAAAGATTAATCCAAATGTACCAAGAGAAAAGCTGGGGAAAGGTGTTAGAGGCAGATGGGAAATCCTGTAGAAAGTCAATAATAACACTACTTTTGAAAATGAAAATACTTGGAGCTTAAATTGAGAGTGTAGTGGTGGGAGCTGAGCCGGAAGTGTGGAAGAGCCAGAATTCCCTGAAAATCATCTTACAACTTAACCCTCCAGATTACAGAGAGAAAAGACATGACCAAATCTGTACATCAAATCACTTTGGAAGCACATACAGGGTGGAGGGAAAATTAAACAATTGGAGTGTAAAGAGCTAACATTCCGGAGCGAAATGAATTTGAAACCAAAATGGGGAACTGACAATAGGAATGGATTAGGAGACTAATATGAGAACTATCAGGATCAGGGATCAGCAAACTTTTTCCAGAAAGAGAGAGTGTAGTAGACACTATTTCTTCACATTCCTTCCACTTAATAGTCATTCTATAATCTATCACCACGCAAAATACGTGAATGGTTAAAATCTATCACCATGTCAAAATACATGACATGGTAGGAAGGATACAAATAAAAAATAAGATAGTTCTTACCCTCCAGAAGTTAACCATTTACTATATAGAGTGCCCAAATACTTAAGAGGGGCAAAGGCGTGCAGAACTAAAGAATCACCCTGCCTCAAAATCCTCCTTTTCCCATTTGAAAAAAAGTGAACATTTATTACTCAAAATGGATTCCATTTTTATTATTTTTTTTAATTTAAAAAACAATATTTTATTTTGAAGTAATCTCTACACCAAACATGGGACTCAAATTTACAACCCCAAGATCAAGAGTCATATTCTCTACTAACTGAGCCAGCCAGGGGCCCCTGGATTCCATTTTTAGGTTGGAGTTCAAGTAGAAAAGTAACTTGCGTCTTCCTCTATGACAAGCTAAGAAATGAGAATGGGGAAAAAAATTCCAGAATATTCTCACAGAAATGAAAATCTGAAGTGAGAAAAGGTGGGTGGGGTTGAACTTCCATTTACCACCTGAAGAGGTAGTAAGAAATTTGGCCTATTTCTGTTATTTTTACATATTTATCTCCTACTTTTAATAGATTAATAACATAAAACTTTTTTTAAAAGGTTTTATTTATTTATTCATGAGACACACAGAGAGAGAGAGGCAGAGACATAGGCAGAGGGAAGAAGCAGACTCCCTGCAGGGAGCCTGATGTGGACTCGATCCCAGGACCCCGGGATCATGCCCTGAGCCGAAGGCAGATGCTCATCCGCTGAGCCACCTAGGCATCCCAATAACATAATACTTAAAGGGGAAAAAAATATCTGCTTAATTTGAAAAAGAAAGGTGGGGAAGATTACATTCTATACTATAAATTAAGCCTGGGGCCCCAAAGCACTTGAATAGAACAGAATACTAAGAGGCATATTAGCCACACTGAATAGCTGGGGCTCCTATAAAAATGAAAAAGCTAAGAGTTTAGCTCTGTCATACCTCTGGCATGACAAAATGCAAGGACTTATGCATTGTGGGCTATATACCCTTGTGAAATACTGAAAAAAAAAAAAAACTCAAGTTCAAATTTTAAATTGGCGAATTATATGGTGTATGAATTCTATTTCAATAAAGCCATTAAAAAAAGAATGAAAAGGTGAGTATAAACAGTGGATCTGCAATATGATAAAAAGGTCAATGTGGACACCACTAACAGAAAATTACTGCTTTTATTTACCATTCAGCCAACTTCTACCTTTAGGCCCCAGTGGAAGACTCTTGAATCTTATATAAATAAATAACATAGTTTCCACCTAGGCTCTTGGATTGAAATTAACCTTAACAGACCTAACAACTTGTTCCATACCTGTTCCACCAACACAAAATCTTCTGATGGTTCTGGGCCCTAAAACTTCCCCAGTTCCCTGGAAATTCTAGGCATTGTGCTCAGTTTTGAAGTGTCATACTTCATGGTACTCAGCTGACTATTATCATAGCACCTCAAGACTTTTTATCTTGACACTCCTAATGAACACAAGAGCAGAAGCTTCATGTTGTAGCATCTCTAGTTGGTAAGGAAGTACCACTGTCCACATGCATGAGTTTAAAGTGTTATATCACTGGGCTCAATTGGCTGATCACATACGAACACAACACTCTTTAAAAGAGAGTTGCCAGGGAGCCTGGGTGGCTCAGTCGGTTGAATGTCTGATTCTTGATTTTGGCTCAGTTCACAATCTTGGGGTTGTGAGATCGAGCCCTGCTTTGGATTCAATGCTGAATGAGGAAGTCTGCTTAAGATGTTCACTCCCCCTCTCTCTTTGCCCCTCCCACTGCCTGTTATGCTCTCTGTAATCCCCCACCCCTCCTGGATAAATAAATAAAATCTTTAAAAAAAATAATAAAATCAAAAAGAATTGCCACGATAGTACTTGAAGAAAAATTTATGTCAGTTCATTTGAGTAATAAATTCAAACACAAATATATAAGTTGAAACTGCTACTTTTGTAGGTCTTTTAAAATAGTCTAATATCAGTAATCTCATGATTTAACTTACTAAATCTGTATTTTAAAAAATTACCTGCTGTTCTTCCGTCTTCCTGTCAAGTCTAGCAGCACGATCTTCCCCAATTTTGATATTATCTCTAATAGCGTTCAACTGTTTTTCAATTTCATTGACCTACAAAGAAATTATACAGTAAATCATGTGTAAGAGTAACTGTAACCAAATATTTTCTACATATTAAAAGCATAAGTGAATAGGTCATAAAGTAAAAATTACCACTGCCCAAGCCATTTCATGTTTCAAGTATTCTAAATTAGTTTTCATTGTACTTAAACCGGCAATACTTTGAAAACGTTCTTCTTTCTCCAAACACTGGCGTTTCAGTTCAGTAAGTCGCTTAAAAAAAGAAAAAAGGATATATTTCTTATTAACATTGAAAAGACACACATTTTACAAATGTATTTCTTTTGAATGCACTATCTTAACAAGTAGTTATAAAGATATGCAAGGAAATGACTTAAGGTGAAAATAAAAATATTTGGTTCTTTGGTATACTTTTACTAAGTGAATTATTTTCTTAATTTCTGTATTATAAAAATGGCCAAAAACTCTTCAAATGAAGATCAAAGGTTTGATCTTAAAAGATCTTAAAACCTTAAACTTTAAAAGGTTTAAGATCTCACAAGTATAGACAAATCATAAAACTTAGTTTCCCATTTCTCTGGACTCCATATCTAATAGACTAGTTATGTTCTTTTGGGCAAAGTATACCCAGTACTCATTCCAAAGATAATGGAAGACACAGAAGAAATTTATTTCTAAAAGCCCAATAAGTTTTTAATTTAATTTAAAAAAATTAAAAAAATATATATATATATAAGTAGGCTCCACACCCAGTGTGGAGCCCAACACAAGGTCCAAACTCACAACCCTGAGACCAAGACTGAGCCGAGGTTAAGACCCAACTGACTGAGTCAGGTAACCTAAGTTAGAATTTTTAAAATCTAAGTTCTCCCTTAATAATAAATCAGGAGTGTCTGGGTGACTCAGTCGCTTAAGCTTCTACTTCTCAATTTTGGCTGAGATCAAGAGATCAAGCATTGGCCTCCCTTCCCCCTTACCACATATCAAGCTCAGTGATGGGTGTGGAGCCTGCTTAAGATTCTCTCACTTCCTCTGCCCCTCCCTCACTCGCTTGCTCACACCAGCAGACTCTCTCTCAAAAAATTAAAATAATAAAATCATTCAACAAGTATCAAATATAACGACATTAGAATAGCCTCTAAAGTGCCTCTACGTTTGAGATTCTGTACACCTGGGTAGATGGCCTCTCGCCCTCACTCGTGCTTACCATCTTCAAGGAGGCCTCATACTGTAGATCTAATGCATCCCTACCAGTCACTTTCCCATTCTCCAGGATTATTTCAATCCATTATCATTCTCTTCAAGCCTCATACATCCCCACCACCCTAATCCCTCACTCATTCTCCTTCCCTCCTCCTTCAGGGAATTTAGTGGCCAGCAGGGGACACTTTCTCCAACTTCCAACGACCTCACTTACAAATCTGAAAAAGGAGGAGGTAGCTTCCTGACACTGAAGTCCAGCCCCCATCCCCTACCCACAGATTTTGGATCTGACCACCAGGTTCTGCCTTCTCAGGAAGTCTGAATTAATTCATTTTTCATCCCTATCTTTCATCTTTGTTTCCACTTGGCCCTCTCCACTGGAGTCTCCACGACTCCCTTCCATTATCACGTTTAAATCTTCACTTCTCTTTCCCGTTCACAAATAAAACTGCCACTACCCAACCTTGGGTACCTCCTCCTCCTCTTTCCCTCTAAGTTTCCTTAAAGTTCTCTCTCTCTCTCTTTTCCATTTCCTCACATTTTCAGCTCCACAAATCTGATTTCCATTTTCACTACTCCTGAAACTTGTCTTGCCACAGGCCTCTATGCTGATTATGCCAGTAAATACAGGGACTATTTGTCAAACCCTCTGGCGCCTGCCACTCAGAATATCACAGTTGTGACTACTGCCTTCTCACATTCTCTTCTCTTGGCCTCTATGGTTTCTGTGAACATTTTTCATGGTTCAGGCCTGGACTTTCCTCTCCTCTTTAAGCAATTTAAGTCATTCCCACAGCTTATACACCAACAACACATTGATGAATCCCAAATTTGTACTGAAGCCAGACTTCTGCATTCCTCACTTCTATATTCAATTGGTTGTTTTATAAGAACCTCAAAACCAATGTGTTCAAAGTGAAATTCATCACTTTCAAAAGAAGAAAAAAAGAAAAGAAAGACTGGCTCCCTCGTCCCAAGACTCCTATCTTCAGAAACTCAGTCTATTGCTCAGGTCAATGATCTGGAAGTCATTTGGTCACCCTTGTTATCTGTCTCAACTTCACCCCTCCCTGTCCCACTTAACACCTGCTCGAATCATTTCAAAACTCTTTTCTCCACTACTACTGCTAACTTATGCTATCATCATTTCTGGACGATTGTTAACACTTTCTTTATTGATCTTTCTATGTTAGTTCTTCCCTTACAGCAATTCACTCTCTTCCACAGCAGAGTAATCTACAAATCATCCACTTTCATGTGTTCAACTGCTCTTAGGTTTATAAGGTCCTCTACGTTCTGGCCTCTTCTTTCTGACTCTTGTGCTCTTCACTCTATCCAATCCGGAATTCTTTCAACTTTCTGAGAGCACCATATACTCTCTTGCCCAAGATGCTGCGATTCTTATTCCTAGGAACAACACCCTTCTTTACTCTCCCCATCCCTTGCCTGGCATCATTCATCCTCAGTTCTTACTTTAAACGTCATCCTTAGAACATATAAATCCTTCCCATGTCTCGGCTTCCCAGCGCTGACACCCTCTTAGGTGCTTTTTGCACAAATCTAGTCATGAGTCCTTTAGCAGTGCCCACCATACTCTGACCCCAGAACCCTGCTACGTATTTGCTGTCATATGGCCATGGACAAAAGCACAATGCCAGGAGGCACACACTGGAACTTGGTATTTATTGACTGAACACCTTCTAGTTTCTATCTAACCTTCACATACTACTTCCTACAGATTTAACTATTCAAATTCAGAGTTTATTTTGAGAATATAGGACATTTAATTAATTAGGAAAAAAACCTCTTATTATGTGCATATTATACAAAAGGAACTTTTACATATAGGGAAGTGCTTCTTAAACTTCATAATCAAAATATATTTAATAGTTAATAATAAAGTATACCATGGAGAAAGTGGGTATTTAACCTCTAGCTGTCCGAAGCAAACAAGTTTCTTCAAGATCCTGAGACACTATTTTTAAGATAATAAATGTAACATATACTATTACATTTTTTGAATATGCAAATATTTCCTTTTCCCAATAACACTGATATTCCAAGATTAATTCTATGGTTTATAGTGCCTCCCCATATCCACATTTTCTGAGTTTGAAGGGATACTGTGGGGAATAAAAATAAATACACTCATCTTTGCTGTTTGAGTTTTCACACAACCATAGACCTAACTTTAAATATTCAATCCTCAAAACTTGAAGTAAAAGGGTTGACCTGGTTCAATCATTAGTACAATTCCGTGTCAAAGAAAAAGCTAAGAAAGAGCTGGAAGCTCAACTGGTTGTATAAAACTGACTAAGTAACAAAAGAACAAGATACAGCATCACACAAAAATTGGTGGGACTTGGGCAGCCCGGGTGGCTCGTTCAGTGCCGCCTTCAGCCCAGGGCCTAATCCTGGAGACCTGGGATTGAGTCCCACGTTGGGCTCCCTGCATGGAGCCTGCTTCTCCCTCTGCCTGTGTCTCTCCCTCTCTCTTTCTATGTGTCTCTCATAAATAAATAAATCTTAAAAAAAAAATTGGTGGGGCTTAATGTATGGAATGAAAAGCTGAAATGTAAAGCCTTATGATTTTGAGGTCTCATTATCAGACAGAAGGTTGGATCTTCAGGAATCTGAAGAAGAAAGTACAAGAAGAAAATATAGCAGACGTTAAAAAAAAAAGTAATTAAGTCACACTGGCTTGAGTTAATTGCAAAGTCAAACAAATATGCACAGCTGCCAAGCTGGTGAGGATGGATGTGACAGCTGCTACCAAGCTATCGGTGCTTAATGAATGCAACATTTTACCAGTGTGATCAAAGAATTACCTACTGTATATAATTACAAGTGAATATTATGTTCAATATCAGCTTGAGACTTGTGCTTATTTTCCCATCAAAAGAAATATTAGAGTTTTTAAACTACTTACACTGATACCTTACTGTAGAACCAATTAGTCATATATTAACAAATATGTAAAATATTGCCCTCTCCTCTACTTTATAGCCCAACAGAGGAAAACGTGTACATACCCATTATTCTAAAACAAAGAAAGTAAAGGCTAATACCCTGAATATAAAAAAACACACTTCCTCTATTTCATACAGTGCTATGAAAGTGTTATTAGTTTTATATAAATACAGATCTATATATAGGGACATAATTTTACAGTACTATTTAAAAATACTAAAAGAATTTGATCTCATAAATATTTTCATTGTGTTTACAAACCTCTTCTCCTTGATTTATCTGCTCCTTTGTTCTTTCTTTTGTTTCCATAATGTATGAATAATCTTCTTTCATCTGTTCAAGTTGAGTTGCTTTCATGAAGAACTATATTGATAAGAAAAACACAATTAGGAGTTTGTAAATTTCCATGGAACTATGAAAAACAAAACTTTGGTTTCTAAATATTTTTGACCAATTATGTAAAAAGATAATAAAAACACACTCAAGTCTTCACACCTAAAATTTACTTAACTTACTCTGCTCACATCTACACATTCATTTGCCAAAGCTCTTAAGAGCTCATGTAAGAAAACACTTCTGTGGGGCATCTGGGTGGCTCAGCAGTTGAGTGTCTGCCTTCAGCTCAGGGTGTGATCCTAGGGTCCTGGGATGGAGTCCCACATCAGGTTCCCCACAGGGAGCCTACTTCTCCCTCTGCCTATGTTTCTGCCTCTTTCTCTGTGCCTCCCATGAATAAATAAATAAGTCTTTAAAAAAAAAAAAAAGAAAACACTTTTGGTGGAAGAATAACACCACCTTGAAAACTCATTTTCACTGATTATTTCATTCTTTAAACAAATACGAATAAAGAGAAAACATCTGTATTCTTTTTTTTTTTTTTTTTTTTAATTTATGATAGTCACACAGAGAGAGAGAGAGAGAGAGAGGCAGAGACACAGGCAGAGGGAGAAGCAGGCTCCATGCACCGGGAGCCCGACGTGGGACTCGATCCGGGGTCTCCAGGATCGCGCCCTGGGCCAAAGGCAGGCGCCAAACCGCTGCGCCACCCAGGGATCCCAACATCTGTATTCTTGATCTTGCTGGATCTTGAATTTTTAGAAAAGGAAATCCTGAAACCCATTCAAAAATTACAACATAAGAGGTGCTCAGGCTCATTAAAGCTACTTGGAACCTCAAAAAAAAAAAAAATTACAACGTAAGTAGTAGTCAAATTTCTTGTTAGCTTTTTAAGTTTTAAATAATTTAAGGTTTAAATGTTACTATGTATGGCCAATCATTCCCTTGAGTTTCCTTAAAGATTAATTTTAGAATAATCCATTCTCTCTCAAAATTAAAAGCCAAAAAGTGAAAGCAAGAATTTACCAAGAAAATTAGACTTCCATCGTACATAGAAGTTTCCTAAATTAGCCCTACAATATTACTGTAAATAGGTGGCTTTAAAAAAAACCCACTCAACATTGATTATGCGGGCAAGAGTTATGTTTGGTATATATGCCTTATCTATAATATATTCTTTTTTGATAAGTTCTTATTTCCTTTGGTGCTCCTTACTTTGTATTTGTCTCCTTCATTTTTAGACTGAAGGAACTGCTTGCTCATCTCTTGTGTTAAAACAGAAACTGGATTATCCACCTGAAACAAACCAGAGGTTATTTTTGCATATTTCATTTTAATACCTTAAGAATAAATGAACTGAAATACAGAAATACAATTCACCTATGGTGTCATCAAGAAGACTAAAGTTAGAGTATTATGGTAAATATATAAAGAAAAGAAAAAATATTAGAACTTCTGAATGTAGAGAAAGTATTTCAAGATATAAAATAAATACCATACCCAAAATTACTCTGCCACTATATGAGGACACGAGCACAAGAACTCCGTGAAGAAGTGTTTTTTATCAGAAAGTTCTCATTTCTTTCATCTGTTTTATATAATTTCACTCCTACGCTACTGGTTAACAATCAGACAACAGTAAGTAAAGCCCTCAGTAGACTTGGGTTTTTGTGTCTCACCTTCTATGTAGCACTGGGCAAGTTAGTTTCTTCAACTGAATACAAAAAGTCTAACTTGGTTATTTCTAATCAGAATTATGATGCCAAGTAGTATTTATTTTTCTTACAGCAGTTCTTCAGACTTTCCATTTATTATTTCTTGATGAAGATGTTATAAAATAAATAAAAACGCTGGAACCACTCTACCTTTTGGAGAAGTCATTTTAAATAAGCCACTTCTTGAATTAAACTACTTATACCTAACAAGTTCAAGTACAGTTATGGTAACAGTAAAGTACTGACCAAAGCACAAGTGAAAAAGTTGAAAAAATATAAATACATATGTTAAACTTGTTTCAGAAAGATTCAAGATCATTACTCATTTATATCTTTGGTATTAATAAGAAAGTAATTCATGTATTAGGAAATAATCCCATTTGCAAAGTTATAGAATACATAGCACCAGTATAAATGAAAAGTTATTTTATTTTTTTAGATTTTATTTATTTGAGAGAAGGGGGGAGAAGAGAGAGAGAGAGGAGACAGAGAACATGTGGGGAGGAGGTGCAGAGGAAAAGGGAAAAGCAGACTCCCTTGCTGAGCAGAGAGCCTGACCTGGGGCTAGATCCCAGGATGGGATATTAGGACCCTGAGGTCATGACCTGAGCTTAATGAAGGCAGATGCTTAATTGCTGAACCACCCAGGTGCCCCTGAATGAAAAAAAAATTTAAACTTCATTTACCATCTGTAAAATACTGATTGTACTGTTAGTATAATAATGGTTAAAATCTTCCTTTTTAAGTAAAATTTTAGGTCTTCTAAGACAAAACATTTATGGAGTTATAAAGAAACCTCTACATAACACTCTGTTATTATATAGATCAATCACACTGACTGCTACATATTTTTTATAAGATTTGCCCTATATCTTAATTTCATATTCCATATGACTTCTTAAAAAATAAGACCTAATGCACTAGCTTTAATGACAGACATTTTAACCAACTTTGAATTAGTAGCTTCTACAAAATTTATATTCTTTTGTCTGCATCTTTTTGATGGTTTTTGAAATGGGGTTCCTAGTTCCTACTACCCTAGGTATTACGTAAGAATCTTGCAGCTTTACCTGTTAAGATGGTAGCAAGCATAAAAGCAAGCACAAACAGATAAACGTCAGAGAAAGGATAAGAAGGGGAGGCACAGGACAAATATAATCAGGTACTTAAAGACATTAAATATCCTCCTCCCTCGTGGTTATTTTAGGCCACCACTGACCAATAGATCTGTAATACAAATCACACAGATAATTTAAAATTTTCTAGTAGCTACATTAAAAATATAAAAAGAAATGGCCAAAATTAATTTTAATATTTCTAATCTATCTAAAATATTATTTTAATAACTTATATAAAAATGGAATTATTCCTTTGCATTAAGTCTTCAAATATATATCTCAAACTACAGTAAATGTCAATTTGGACTACCTACATTTCAAATACTTAATATCCGCATAAGGCTAGTGGTTCCTGTACAGGTTAATGTAGCTCTAGACCTTCTGTGTTTTGATCACCGAACCTGAACCTGCAGTTTACTGCATAGTACCAGAAGAGGACTAAAGGAAGTACGATAACAATCTTCAAATATTTCGAAAGAGGCGGAACTTTCCAGAATGCTCGGTGAGACGCAGAGGCTGCCCGAGCTACGCCCAGCAACGCGCTCCTTCCCACTCCCCCACACTGGCTTCGGCCCTCTCACTGGCTGTAGAAAATGGTGAAAAAAACCACTTACTATGATGTTTTGGGGGTGAAACCCAATGCCACCCGGAGGAATTGAAAAAGGCTTACAGAAAACTGGCCTTGAAGTACCACCCTGATAAGAATCCAAATGAAGGAGAGAAGTTAAAACAGATTTCTCAAGCTTATGAAGTGCTCTCTGATGCAAAGAAAAGTGAATTATATGACAAAGGAGAACAGGCAATTAAAGAAGGTGGAGCTGGTGGTGGTTTTGGCTCCCCCATGGACATCTTTGATATGTTTTTTGGAGGCGGAGGCAGGATGCAGAGAGAATGGAGAGGTAAAAATGTTGTACATCAGCTCTCAGTAACCTTAGAAGATTTATGTAACGGCTCAACAAGAAAACTAGCTCTGCAAAAGAATGTGATTTGTGATAAATGTGAAGGCCGAGGTGGTAAGAAAGGAGCAGTCGAATGTTGTCCCAATTGCCGAGGTACTGGAACACAAATAAGAATTCATCAGATAGGACCTGGAATGGTTCAGCAAATTCAATCTGTGTGCATGGAGTGCCAGGGCCATGGGGAACGGATCAGTCCTAAAGACAGATGTAAAAGCTGCAACGGAAGGAAGATAGTTCGAGAGAAGAAGATTCTAAAAGTGCATATTGACAAAGGCATGAAAGATGGCCAGAAGATAACATTCCATGGTGAGGGAGACCAAGAACCAGGACTGGAACCAGGAAATATTATCATTGTTTTAGATCAGAAGGACCATGCTGTTCTTACTCGACGAGGAGATCTTTTCATGTGTATGGATATACAGCTGGTTGAAGCCCTGTGTGGCTTTCAAAAGCCAGTATCTACTCTTGACAACCGAACCATCGTCATCACCTCTCATCCAGGTCAGATTGTCAAGCATGGGGATATCAAGTGTGTGCTAAATGAAGGCATGCCAATTTATCATAGACCATATGAGAAGGGTCGCCTAATCATCGAATTTAAGGTAAACTTCCCCGAGAATGGCTTTCTCTCTCCTGATAAACTTTCTCTGCTGGAAAAACTCCTACCTGAGAGGAAGGAAGTAGAAGAGACTGATGAAATGGACCAGGTAGAACTGGTGGACTTTGATCCCAATCAGGAAAGACGGCGCCATTACAATGGGGAAGCATGAGGATGATGAACATCATCCTAGGGGTGGTGTTCAGTGTCAGACCTCTTAATGGAGCCAGTGAATAACACTGCTTGCTGGCATTTTATATGCAGTAGTGGATGAGTGAAGGACTATAATCATAGCTCACTACTTGCTATTGTTTTTGTTTTAATATTCAACTATAGTAATGTTTTAAAAGTTAAATGAAGAATAAACTCAAATATAAAAAAAAATATTTCGAAAGAAATAAACGTGTTTTTACATTCGTTAAGGAAGTGGGAGCTTAGAGAAACAGGCTTTATTTAACCTTTCCCTAATAAAAACTTTCTACTAGAGCTGTCCACAGAAGGAATCAGAAGTCTCTGGCAGAAGTGATTTCTCCACCACAATCCACTTAAGCAGTTGCTGAAGGGACACTTGGTACAGATTCCACACAGGGTAAATCCAGTGAGAACTCTACTGGATGCCCTTCACAATTCTCCCAACATCCAATTCCATACTCTGTTGGTATTCTTGATTCTGCTTAAAATTTGTTCTGAATTCTAGCCTCGAATTTATTTGATGTATCTGCTTTTCTCCAAATATAATTGTTTTTCTAAACTTCCGTTGTCTGATATGCAAGCTACTATCCACATGTAGTTTTTATACTTAGGTAAAGTAAATAAAAATCAAACACTCTATTTCTTAATCACACATTTCTGTCAAGAGCAACATGCTAGTGGTTGACCCACTGAATAGCAAAATATAGAATATTTCTACTATCACAGGAAGTTTTCCTGGACAGATCTGTTCTAAAGCAAAATGGAAAAGAGACCTAGACTTGTAACTGTTTTTTTCTCCTTAGTAACTAGTCTTGGTGTTCTCCGTCCTGGAGTAAGTAAGGAGGGTGGTACATTAGGATAAACATGGATGCCTGGATCCCCATGCAGGCTCTATCAACAAATACGCCTAGACAGTAGGGTCAATTTACTTTTTCCAGTTCTATCCTCATCTACAAAATAAAGGTGAATTAGATGACCTCCAAAGGCAATTCCAATACTAATTAATTAGACCATATGCTCTATTTTTAATTATTCAAAGTATCTCCGCAAAAAGGACTGGACTTATCTCCTATAGGTACGACCAATAACTCCAAAATACATAAACAAATGCTTTATTTTTCTAGAATAAATTTCCTTTCTACAAAAATTTAGCATCTGAGTTTAGAAAACTTAGATGCTATTCCAACTAGAATAAACAGGAAGCAAAGAAACTTTATAGCCTTTAGTAACATCCAGTTTAGCCCATACCATTGGGCCATGCACTGAAAATGCTAAATTAGTAAATTTTAAGCAACTTCACTAACAATAGTTGTAAACATTTGTTCTATGGTCAACTTACTCATAGAAGTCCATTTTAGTTCTTTCAACACTACAAATGAAATCACATGAGAAACTGACCAGTGCATTAATCTCAAACAAAATTTAGCAATTACCTGTATGTTAAAATGATCAAGAATTGCAATCAGTTCTTCTTTTCTAGTAGAAACCACAGTGCCTGATTAAGAGAAACAAATAAAATGACCAGACCATTTCTAGGGCAAAAATATGGAGAAAAAATAAGCACTCACTCATAAATACAAATATTAACTATTTTTGTCATGTCCTTAAGAATAGGCACAGTGTAAAGTTAGTCTACTCTGAAGCCATCTTGGTAAACTACCCCAACAGTGTGAAGTTAGAATTCCATCAGGGTGATGCCAGGTTCCAATTGAAATTTATTTGCAACCTGCTTGGGCACAGAAGCCATTGTCTTCACAAACCTTGGTGTGGTTGAACTGACAGTTAATGTGTTGTGACCTGGAGTTCACTGTTAAAAGGGTCATCCAAGCAAAGTCCTGGAATTTATTTGGTTATTATGATTGTTGGCACATCCTATGCAATATATCTAAATTGAATTATGGTATCAGATAAAATTATAGATGGGATTAAAGCTTGTGTATCGTCCTTATCATGTGTAATCAATAAACGATTTAATATTTAAAAAAAAAAAAAAAAAGAATAGGCACAGATCTGAGAGAGCTGCATGCTGCAGTCATCATCACCCAAGCACACGGAGGAGGAAACAGCATGGATACAAGGACAGTGCTGTTCTCCCCATAGCAAAACACTGGCTTTTCCTTCTCATCTAGGTCTTCACCTCCTCTTCCTTCATGTCCTTTTCCACCTTTGGTTAACTCCCCTTTCTACATGTGATAAAAACTACAGAAGTGGAAGGAGGCCTGCAGCTGAGAACAAAGTGGTAAAGCCTGTTTCAAGTGGACTCAGACTGATAATCATGGTTCTGCTGGTATGTCTTGTGGTAAAACAACTGTGTATATATGTTCATATTTAATCATGGGTGTGTAATACATGCAGCCAACCTATCACATGACAAGAAAATGGTTTCAAGAGATTGGCAAGAAATGCCCTTTCAATGAATATCTGAACAATCACTTCACTCTAACTGAATATTTAGTAGCATTTTATATGAAATGAAAAGACATTCATAACAAACCTGTTTCACTTTTTAGTTTATAAGACCGACTTCCATCCATGCTGATGTGCTGCTGCACGACTATAGAGTTGCCATACACATTTGCTCTATAGGCATCATCTCCTCTGTTCCTTAATGTTATGGAGATATCTGCTGAGCTAAAGCAAGAAGGTTAAGAGAAGTCACATGAAGGTACAGTGCAATTTCAGTCCAGGTTGCTATAATTTTCAAAACCTCCAAAGCAATTTGCCTAATTCATTTGAAAAGTAGCTTTACACCAGCCATTGATGGCTACCAGATTATGACAGAATAATGTCGAAGATAACACACCTAACAAAAAAACAAAGTTGAGAATAAGGGTTATAAAAACATTGACTATCCTATCTATAATAGAAATATTACATTCACATAAAAACCTCTTTTTTTAAAAGATTTTATTTATATATTTGAGAGAGACAGCATGAGTTGCAGAGAGTGGGGAGGAGCAGAAGGAGAGGGAGAAGAACAAAAAGAGATGCCCTGCTGAGCCAAAAGCCCAAAGCGGAGCTCAATCTCAGGACCCTGAGATCACAATCTGAGCTGAAGTCAGACACTTAATGAACTGAGCCACCCAAGCACCCTAAAACCATTTAAGTTTGGTGGTTTCAAATCATGTTGATAAGTTATACGTTTTCCTATAAGCAGCATGTAATACTACACCACCTGACTACTCTAAATTACATAATAAAGCATCATGCTAACAGTTGACCTTTGAGAATGATTAAGTAACAATTATGGTGAAGTAATAAGTTTTTCTAAGAGCATCAGAATCAAAAGAAGCAACTTTAACCTTTCAAATACTTGGCAATAAAAAAATGAAAGTATTTGGTATCAAGAAACATAAAAAAAGGTAAAAAATTATTGAAGTTTTATTGGTATTATGAAAATTAGTTTTAAAGTTTTAAAAAAGTTTAAAGCATTTATAGCCATGTACATTTTAAAATATTATAGGAGGGACGCCTGGGTGGCTCAACAGTTGAGCGTCTGCCTTTAGCTCAGGGCGTGATCCCAGAGTCCCGGGATCGAGTCCCACATCAGGATCCTTGTATGGAGCCTGCTTCTCCCTCTGTCTGTGTCTCTGCCTCTGTCTCTCATGAATAAATAAATAATTCTTTTTAAAAATAAGTAAAATGTTATAGGAAAAAAATATATCAATCTTTATTTTTTTACTTTAATTTTTGTTAAAATGAGACAGAAAAACAATGTCAATCAAGTCTACTACTAAATACATTAAAATTTCCTTAAACATAAAAGGAGATTTTTCCTAGCTCATATGAATATCTGCCAAAATGCTAAAGTCCTTTAATGTGAAACTGCTTTAACTGATAATTAAATGGAATCTTTAATATTACTTGTTTTCATTAATTTGTAATCATATCCCAAATTGCTTCCATTTACAAGAATTGCAGAAAAATACACGCAAGATGAACTTTACTGTATGCCGGTATTACAGTAGGCCCACTGAAGGAAGGGTTTCTCTGCTGCTGCTCCCTCACCCTCTTCTCTGAGTGCCCAAGCAGAAAGATAGGGCTGAGCAACCGTCAGTCCAGTCTCCACCCTGTCCCCCAGGGATGGAGCTAAATACAGAAATCTGACAGTAACTGAAGCAGATTCTCTTCTTTCAAAATTCAAATTAAGAAGAACTAGTAAAATCCAAATAAGGCCTGTAGTTTCCTCAGTAATACTGTGCCAATGTGAACTACATAGCTTTGATAAAAGTACCTTTGTTACCTAAGATGTCAACATTAAGGAAAAGTAGATGAAGGGTATAAAGGAAACTGTACTACCTTTGCAACATTTCCATAAATCTAGATGATTTCAGTGAAAACGTTTTATCAACAAACCCAAATGAAGGCACAACCAGTTTAAGAGCTGGGGATTCCTTGAGGCCTCTGAGGACCAGGGAAACCAGTTTGGGACATGGCTCCTGATGAGAGGCTCCAGAGAGCAGCAGGAGCACACAATGAAGTTCCTGGGAAACCATCAAGATACATTGAAAGAGAAACACACCCACAGACACTGGCATTGAGTCAGAAACAGAGAGAACATGAGAGCACTTCCTTAAACACACAGCCCCAAAGACTAAAGTGGTAAGAGGTCAACCACTGTGCACACAAAGACACAGAGTAACAAAGACACTGGGAAGTTATAAGGAAGGGAACACATAGTCCAGAGACAATGAGAGAAAAACACATTCACAAACCCACACACTTGTTATAAGAGGACTGAGGAAAAGGAACACAACATAACAGCATAGCCCATTGCATGAGGGGGTGACGGAGGGTGGTAGAGCAGAAGGGTTGCAGCGTGCATCTAAAGACACACAGAGAGAAAGGCAGAGACACAAAAAAGAAAGGCCCAAAGACAGATAAAACTTGCTTCTCAGTCTCTCAGTTTTGGTCACTTGTGAAAACTTCTTCCCTGCAGGTTGTAAGAAATATATCCCTGAATCTTCACAATAAATCTCCTTTTCTAAATTACTTTAAGCTGGGGTGTGCGTGTTTAAATCAGAAATACACAATTAAGACATATATGCTCTTGGAAAATTGTAACTAACAGGATTTTTAAAAGATTCCAAGGTGATTCTAATGAACAGTCAAGGTTGAAAACCACTAACTAAAGTATAGCAGGGGAAGGGCAGCTGGCCTACTATATGGAGAAAAAAATATCTTATTTCATTAACTAGTATGATTACCCAGTATTAAGTGAATGTACCTCATTAACACATTTTAAAAATAAAGTGACAGGGAATCCCTGGGTAGCTCAGCGGTTTAGCACCTGCCTTAGGCCCAGAGCGTGATCCTGGAGTCCCGGGATCGGAGTTCTGCATCAGGCTCCCTGCATGGAGCCTGCTTCTCCCTCTGCCTGTGTCTCCGCCTCTCTCTCTCTCTCTCTCTCATGAATAAATAAAATCTTTTAAAAAAATAAAATAAAAAACAAAAATAAAGTGACTACAGAGAAACAAAAGCAAAAATGAACTACTGAGACCTCATCAAGATAAAGAGCTTTTGCAAAGCAAATAGTCAACAAAACTAAAAGGCAATCTAGAGAATGGGAAAAGATATTTGCAAATGTCTTATCTGATAAAACCTACAAAGAACTTGTCAAACTCAATACCTAACAAACAAATCTAGTCAAGAAATGGGCAGAAGACATGAGCAGAAATTTCCCCAAGAAGACATACAAATGGCCAAAAGACACATGAAAACATCTCAACATCACTCGGCATTGGGAAAATACAAATCAAAACCACAATGTGATACTACATCATGCTAGACAGAATGGCTAAAATTAACAACACAGGAAAAAAAATGTTGGCAAGGATGCAGAGAAAGGGGAACCCTCTTACACTGTTTATGGGAATGTAAACTGGTGCAGTCCCTCTGGAAAATACTATGAAGATTTCTCAAAAATTTAAAAACAGGGAAGCCTGGGTGGCTGAGTGGTTGAGCATCTGCCTTTGGCTCAGGGTGTGATCCCGGATCAAGTCCCACATCGGGCTTCCTACGTGAAGCCTGCTTCTCCCTCTGCCTATGTCTCTGCCTCCCTCTCTCTCTCAGTCTTTCATGAATAAATAAAATCTTTAAGGAAAAAAAAGTTAAAAATAGAGCTACCCTACAACCCAGCAATTATAACACCAGGTATTTTGCCAAAGGATACAAAAACAGCAATTCAAAGGGGCACTTGCACCCCAATACTTATAGCAGCAATGTCTACATTAGCCAAAATATGGAAAGAGCCCAGATGTCCATCAACAGATAAATAAAGAATACATACTTATAGACACACACATTAGAATATTACTCAGCCATCAAAAAGAATGAAATCTTGCCATTTGCAATGACTTGCACAGAACTAGAGAGTATTATGCTAAGTGAAGTAAGTCAGAGATAGATCAAACATCATATGATTTCACTCATATGTGGAATTTAAGAAACAAAACATGGACACGGGAAGGGAAGGAAAAATGAACTAAGATGGAAATAGAGGATTGGATTACTGAGAGAGGTTACCATGGGAGGAGCTGTTTTTAAATTTTAAATGAAGAAGGGGATGACTAGAGAAGAATAGTATTGGGTTTGAAAAAGCTATTTTTAAGTTACCTTTTCAGACAAGGTCAGTAAAAAAGGAGACTGAGTTCAAATTAAAGCTTTCAACTGTTATTAACTTTAAAATATATTAATATTACTATCTATAGGCAGCTGTGTTCTTGAAAGTTGGTGATTTGTGTGAGCTGGCCTTTCTTTTTAAAAATGATATTCTGAGGATAAGTCTCAGAAAGAAGTTCCTGCTTCAGTCCAGATACTTCCCAAATGGCCAAAAAAAAAAAAAAAAAAAAAAAAACCCAAAACCAAAACCAAAAAAATTTTTAATTGAAATATTAATAAAATATCCAGTGGTACAGAAAAAAATTTATTTTCCTAAAACTCCTATTTGAAAGATCAATGTATTATCTGGCTGGGTAGACTGACTGGACAATTGAGAAATGTTTAGTTAAGTATAATCAATTGAAACAGAGCTGGGATTGTTAAAAATGTTGAAATAACTAATTTTTGACTACAGCTATTATTTGGTTGGGGACTCTGAAGGGGAGAGGACCTTGCTGGGCTGGCACCCAAATAAGATACGGAGAGACAGAAAATATGCTGGAGAATTGTTAGTAAATAGTTCTTTTCCAAGGCCAGAGAGCATGGGAAATTACTTTCTGTGTATCTTCACCCCTTCTTCTGAGTCCACATGGAACTCTGGCTTAGGGTTAAGATTCCTATAGTTTTCTGAGGGATACAGAAGAAAACTACAGTCCTGGTCCACATCCCATCCCCATTCTATATTTTAGCAAAAAAAAATTGAAGAAGTTAAATGGATATGATAGGGAGAAGGAAAATCTATTATATGAAAAAAGAAGATCACTGTTAATTATCAAAGTTCCAGAGGTTCTGGGCATGGGAATGCACGAGAAATGAGCAATGGGAGTAGCCTCACTCTGAGAGCTAGAATAACAGAGTTTACTTCCAGTTTTTAGGAGACACAAGGATCCCTTCAGAGTTACTGAAAGCTATATTAAGAAGAAGAAGGACCTCAGCCTGAAGAGCACACCTAATGGGCAAAAGCCCTTAAGTCTACAATGATGCAAATCAGGCAATTAATATAAAGTTACATGAAGGTAAGCTATATCAAAAGGAAATAATAAGTGGAGAGCCTGGGTGGCTCAGGTGGTTAAGCATCTGACTCTTGATTTCAGCTCAGGCCATGATCTCAGAGTTGTGGGATCAAGCCCTGCACTGGGCACCATGCTCAGTGTTGAGTTAGCTTCTCCTTCTGCTCCTCCCCCTGCTCTTTTGCTCTCTAGCTCACTTGCTTGCTTTCTTATAAATAAATAAATAAGTAAGTAAATAAAATCTTTTTTAAAAAAGAAGAAAAATATGCATAGAGCCAACGACAGTAGTTACATGACCATTCTCCAAGGGTCAAGATGGACCACCAAATAGATGTGTGGTTGTGGCCCTCAAATCAAACTCACTGGCAAACCACCTGAGTAAAGCACACAAAATCAAAGACAGAGAATGGAATACTTCTTTGGAATTCTTAGGGACTGGAGGCAGAAATTTTATGCAGAGACCCTTGGCTGGTCACGGACTCTGCTTTTGCCTACATCTTATTAACATGGACTTGGTGAAGTTTGGGTCAAGAGCCAGGAAAGTCCAATGTTTATAAATATTCCCTTAAAGAGAAATACATGGATTTATCATACTAGTTCTTTCCTTCAAAAAGGTAAGAGAAATAAAAGTATAAGTGGGCAGGTACACGGCAATACTTTACACAAGCTTTTTCTCTGGAGAGAGCAACAGACAACAGCGGCCATGCTGGCAACAGGGAGCAAGAGAAAGGAATGCAAAAATAGGACTCTTCGGCTCTACTTCTGGGAAGCCAATTCATTCCCTATCATGTTTACATGAACTAGGAATCTAAAGCAGCTGTTTCTTACTAAAGGACTGAAAAATACACGTAGAAAGCCAACACTTACTTCTGTCCATCTTTCACAAAACCTTTCAAAGAAGAGCCTCTATTTGTAGCAACAGCTTTTCCTCCAAGGCCAACAATGAGAGCTGTAAGCACGGCACTCTTCCCACCTAAAGAGACAGGTGTTAAAGAAATCACATTCATTAAAGAGAGAGAAACAAAAAGGCTGCCTTCTACCATTTGATGTAAAAAGATTTCTGAATAAAAATGTAAATTAGTTCTAACCCTGAAGTGTTACACTTCAATTATCATCTTCTCTTAGCGACCTTAAAAAAGTTGTACCTATCATGAGATATTTAGCTGCTGCTATATCAGGAAAAAAAAATTATACATTTCAGAAATCAAATTTTCACCACTAATAAGGAAATGGTAAAAGTGGTTGCTATCTTTCCAACATAAAATTCTCATTGTTTCTCTTGGTCCATCAGCCTATTAAAAACAAGCCTATATTTGTGATTACACATGTATACTTACTTCATCTAACTTTTATTACATTCTAATTTAGGCGTAATTTACTTTCTCCATAAATTCACAGAAATCAGAAACTATTTTTAACAACCCTTAAATGCAAAAGCAAGCTCCATAGGGACAGGGATGTTGCCTGTTTTATTCAATGCTGTATCTCCAAAAGCAGCTCATAATAGGCACTCTGGTATTTACCAAATGAATGAATGAACTTAAATATGGAAAAATCATCAGTCATAAAGATGAATGTTTCTGTGTAATATTTTGACAATTTCTATTCCTAATTTGAATATTATTCATTTGCTAGTTTTCTGAAAAGTATACTTCTTTTTACACTAAGATATATTAGCTAAAATTTCAAAAAATCTAAACAAATACTCAGAATATGTAATCATTTTCTGAACTCCACAATCAACTAATTCAATCAACTCTTACCACACCCATCATTTTCAACAATATACCCTAAATTAACCCAAATATACTACTGGTTAACCTGATTTAGAATCTGGAATACCTTTCAAGCCTCTAAACCTCTAAGTCCCAGCTTCTTCATTTCCAAATTCATTGCCTCCACTATTTGCATTATTTTATTAATAAAATCACTGCTTCAAAATTTAAAAACAAAAAAAAGACCTAATTGAAGAACCCACCAGTCATGCCTTATTTCTTGTCCCATGAGACTTCCCAGCAGCACTGATCCCTCTGTCCATTCTCTCCTTCTGAAAACATTTTTTTCTTCACTGAATATAGAGCAGAGGAAACAAAGAACTATACACTAAACAGAATGTAAAGCTGTACTCACCTACCGTCCTGTTCTAGCACCACCACCAGCTGTAGACTCTGTGTACTGGCTCAATCAAGATGTCAACAGCTCGCTGGCCCATCACAAAAGCTGTCTAACAGGTCTTTCTAACCCTGTGTCTCTTCCCTTCTAATCCATTGTCCACAACAACATGGCCAGTTTGTTTCAAAAATCTTGACCTTGTCACCCCTTACTCATAAACGTTACCTGGTTCTCCACTGACTTTTGAATTAAACATTAAAATCTTTATCATGGCATTCAAGATCCCCACCAATATCACCTACAACAGGACTCTTCAGTGTCAGTTTCTGTCCCTCCTTATCATGTAGAATAGGGCCATATAAGGTTGTTGCCATTGTCCATGCACATCTACTTCTACTCCTTGAAACCTCTGCTAATGTGTAATCTTTGCTTGGAATATCTCAGCCTCTTTGACAATGAGACCTAAAGAATCTGTAATTTTCATTCAAGTAGCACCACAAATACCACCTTCTCTTTAAGCTTCATTGGCCATGGTGAGAATTAGTTTCTTTCATGTTTGGTTCCCATGGCACTCTATTTATGCTCTATTATAACATTTAATAGATGTAAGATGCTGGGCTACCTTGGTCACAATGAGGGTAGCTTGTCCACTCTTCTACAGTATGAATTCCAAGGTAAATGGATTTAAAAAAAATTAAGTAGGAAATGTTTATTCTTACTGTATAAATAATGAACTTAAAGTTAACTCATTATTTTCTTAAAGCGCAGGCTGGCAGCAAATACTGAAAATATTCGTGATTGCAAGTTATAGATCTAAAACTTCAATTTTTTGCATTCACAGCCATCTGTTTTAAAAAGCTAATGCAGGGATCCCTGGGTGGCGCAGCGGTTTGGCGCCTGCCTTTGGCCCAGGGCGCGATCCTGGAGACCCGGGATCGAATCCCACATCGGGCTCCCGGTGCATGGAGCCTGCCTCCCTCTGCCTGTGTCTCTGCCTCTCTCTCTCTCTCTCTCTCTCTTGGTGACTATCGTAAATAAATAAATAAAAAACCTTTAAAAAAAAAATTAAAAAAAAATAAATAAATAAAAAGCTAATGCATTCAAACTATAAAGTACTCCTCAAAGTCAAATAAGGAGGGCAAAAGCACTTACTTCCATTGTTGCCAACAACAAAGTTGACATTAGAACCAAATTTAAAGGGTCCAAGCATCGAATGACACATAAAGTTTCTTAGCTGAATACTCTCAATTATTCCAACTTCTGCTGCGGTCTATTAACAAAAAAAAGAGAGAAAACAATCTAATAAATTTACTATAATCATCTAAGCATTTGGAGAAAGATCAGCAGTGTTATAATGAACAGTTATAGTAACTGAATAACCTTAACTTCCACGAGTAAGAAGAAATTAAATGGGAACCTTCTAGGAGTAATCACTCATTCTAAAGTCCTTAAAGGATCTAATAGCTGTATCACATAGTTTTTAATTTTAATTTTTTTAAATTTATTTATTTATGATAGAGAGAGAGAGGGAGAGAGAGAGAGAGAGAGAGAGAGAGAGGCAGAGACACAGGCAGAGGGAGAAGCAGGCTCCATGCACCGGGAGCCCGACGTGGGATTCGATCCCGGGTCTCCAGGATCGCGCTCTGGGCCAAAGGCAGGCGCCAAACCGCTGCACCACCCAGGGATCCCCACATAGTTTTTTAATATGGACAATACTAATGTTTTGAGTCAGGTAATTTTTGTTGGAGTGGGGCTATTTTGTGCATTTGGAGAATTTTTTTTAAAAGATTTTATTTTATTTATTCATGACAAACACACACACACACACACACACACACAGAGAGAGAGAGAGAGAGAGAGAGGCAGAGACACAGGCAGAGGGAGAAGCAGGCTCCATGCAGGGAGCCCGATGCAGGACTCGATCCCAGGTCTCTAGGATTGCACCCCGGGCTGAAGACGGCGCCAAACCGCTGGGCCACCAGGGCTGCCCTCATTTTGAGAATTTTAACAACATCCCTAGCTTCTACCCACCAGATGCTAGTAGCACACAGCTAACTCCAAGTTATGACAACCAAAAACATGTCCAGACATTGTTAAATGTCTTCTGGGGCGTGGGGGGCAAAATCTCCCCTTGGTTGAGAATCATTGGTACAGTAAAATTTCCTATAAAATATAAAACAATATTTAAAGCATCCCTGAAAGATGACTATCCAGCTATGGTTTGAACACTGAATCTGCTATAAACAATTCAAACAATTGAGCACACGTTCTTAAAAGGTAAGTAACTTTTCTTGTGATTTTCTGTCACTATTGATAAACTGTGTGACTTTGACAATGTATAAAGAATATATAGTTTCTAAATCTATAAAACAGAAATTATTCCCATAGTGTAAATATACATACATCAGCATTGGAGTTTTAGAAATATTTTAATCAAGAGTTTGGCATATAGGGGTCACATTTTGTAATTAGAAACACCAAAATACATCAACCATATATTACCAATATCCATCTATTTTAACAGTGTCTTTAAAAACTCCCTGGCAAAAAACAAACAAACAAACAAATAAATAAGTAAAAATAAAAACTCCCTGGCTCTCTCCTTCTGGACGTCATCTTATTAAAAAGCAAAAATATTTACATCCTTTTATGAGCAGAATATTGGAAATTATGGTTGAAGAGTTTTAAAATAAATTTTTATTTTTATCTAATTGTAGATGAAGTTGTAAGAAATAATACAGAGGGATCCTATGAATTCTTTACTCAGTTTCTGCCCATGGTACATCTTAAAAACTGTAGTACACTATCATAACCAGGATACTGATACTGAAATAGTCAACATCCATACAGAATATTTCCATCACCACAAGGATCCCTCCTGTTGTTCTTTTATAGCCCATCTCCCCCCACCTTAACCCCTAGTCCACTAATCTGTTCTCCATTTATAAAACACTGTCATTCCACAAATGTTATAGAAATATCCATTGTTTCCTACATTGGGAGTTCACTGCTAAGTAATATTTCATGGTATGAGTGTACCATAGTATTTAACCATTCACTCACTGAATGACATCTGGGTCATTTCAGTTTTTGGCTATTAAAATAAAGCTGCTATAAACATTCATGTATATATTTTTGTGTGAAGGTATATCTTCATTTCTCTGGGACAAATGCTGAGTTATATCGTAAGTTGCTGCACATTGAATTTAAAAAAAAAAGAAAGAAAGAAAGAAGAAAGAAAGAAAGAAAGAAAGAAAGAAAGAAAGAAAGAAAGAAAGAAAGGCCAAACTATTTTTCAGGGTGGCCATACCATTTTATATTCCTACCAGTAACCAATGAATGATCCAGTTTTCCTGCATCCTTGCCAGCATTTGAACTTGTCACTGTTGTTTTTAACTTCACTCATTCTGATGGGTGTGTAGTAATATCTCACTGTAGTCTTAATTTGCACTTCCCCAATAACAAATCACCATCTCATGTCCCTTATTGTCCTTTTGAAGTCTACAGAGTTGATGCTACAGTTTTGTTTCTGTTCCTATAATCTGTAATCTGTGTCTTCTTTCTTTTCTCCCCTTTGTTGGCCTTACTAGAGATTTGTCAAATTTATTGATCTTTCCAAAGAACAAGCTCTTTGTTTTACTGTTTTCTTTACTGATTGTTTCTAATAATTAACATAAACATCAAAAGTAGTCATATTATTTTACCTTAGTTTAAAAAAAAAAAAAATCATTCACCTTTCCTGATACTGAATTACCAAGAATATGACATATAAACCAGACATGAAAACCATGCTAGTTGCCAAATTTTGCACTTACCAAAGTAGAGGTACCATTAGTGAAAGAAACTGTACATTCATCTTCATCACCGTCTTTGTCAAAGTCATCCAACTCTTCTTGTCTTGGTCTTTTGGCATTTTCGGGAGAGAAGAAATTTTCTTCTTTTCTTTTGGCCATCGGGTCTGAACATTTATTAGAGTAACAATGAAGTAAATCAAGCGTAGGCATCCATATAATTATTCCATATATATTGAACTTAACAAAATAAGTGAAACAAAGCTTAAGTTTTAAGTACTATGTCCATTTGGTTTTTACTTTGAAAAAAGTAAAAATAACATCTGTACATGAGAAAGGAGGCCAAGAGCCAAAAAAGGCAGGTGGTCACTAGAGGCTGGAGAGGCAACGAAACATATTCTCCCATTCAAGTGTCCAGAAAGAAACTCAGCCCTACTGCCACCTTGGTTTTAGCCCTGGGAGTCATGTCAGACTTACAACCTGCAGGGTAATAAATGTATGATTTCACCTATTTAAATCATGTGCATATGCTACACTATCTGATTTTATTTCAGTTATTCATGACCAAGATTTTATTGATATGGGCCTATCTAAATGTTCTGACTCCTAAACTCACAAAAGGTAAAAGATTTTACTTGTGAAGCTGTGGTTTCTAGTTTCCTAGATGTATTAATAGAGATGCCATAATGCCTTTGAAATTATCCCAGAGCAACCATTCATTTTTTTTTCAGATAAAACTATTGTTTCCCTTATTTATTCTCTAAAGAAATATTCCATGGGATCTACTTTTTACCAATATATATAAAATGTATGCCTAAAAAACAAATGTATTTAAAATTATACAAGATTTTCAGAAGGTATGAATATTGCACCTCAAGTTAAAGCTGACAGTCTGATTAAAATTAAATACTGATTGCTACTTTCATTTTTCTCTATAAAATACATTTAAGACTTAAAATGATATGTACCCAATAATTATTTGCTGAGTAAATGGAGAGAAAAATCCACAATATAGGTAATCAAAAATGTCTAAGATACAAAGAAAGAAGAATAGTTCTACTCTTGATCTATTTAAGACCCCATGTAGCATACCATGTAGCAACCAGGTCTGCACCAGGTACCTGGGCAGCAAAAGAGTTAATGAGGTTTTCTCTCTCTTGATTTTAGACTAATGGATTCCAGTTAGTCCTCAATAGAGACGACAGCCATATGTGACGATATGCACACAGGGCAACAAAGCCAATCTTATTGTATATGTGTCGGAAGGGTGGGGGAACAGTGGAATGGGGTTCCAAAGAGATGTGCTGGAACCAGAATGGGGCCTCTATTAGAAGGAGTGTGAGCAAGAAAAGGAGGGTTAGAAAGGAAGAGACATCCTAACACAGGGTTTAATTTTTTAATCCACTGCTTTGCAAACTTATATTGACATAACCAATCTTGCAGAAATATCTGTGCATATTTTGGGGAACTACCTTTGTCAGACTTGGTTATTTTGACAATGCATGCCTCATTAAGTGATTTGAGTGGTTTTCCCATCCTTTTAATGTTCTGAAATCACTTCTACCGCATGACACATTAAAATGTTTTTTTCAAAGTGAAAAAGAAGTAGCTATTAGAAAGTAGAGACTTGAAATTTAACTTTCTGAAATCAGTTAAATTTTTTTCTTGTACATCAGTTTTCACAGGTTCACTATATCCTCCTGAATCATTTTTCCATAATAATTTTATTTTCCAAAACACTGAGAGTAAAAAGCTAGATTACCTTACATTTTGTAAAATCCTCATCTGCAGTCATGACTCCTTCATATAAATTCTATTTAATTAAATACTGAAATATTTTCTCCAAAATCTAGATCTTTGCTTTTTCCAATCTAGGTTTTCTTTAATGGGAATATTTTAATGCTTATTCATACTTTTTATACAACCAAATATAAGGGATATATGCAGTGGGTCCAGAATTTAATCCTTGAATCTTTCAAAGCACAAATTAAAAGCAATCAGAGACTTCTACTTCCAGGAAAATGGAATAGATATACTTTTCCCTATTCCTCTTGCTTAGTAAAACCAAAAACTTTACCAATTATACATACAACAAACATAAGATGACTCTGAATGAAAAGGAGGTAGATTGGCCAGGGACCTTAGGACACAAGAAATGACATCATGGTAAGTTCCCTGAGTTTTTGCTTTGCCACAAATATCCCAGACCTGGAGAAGACAGCAGCTGGGGAGACATCAGCAGGTGCAGAGGGCAAAAAGACCCAAATGAAAGCTTGTTCTCTCCAGCCAAAGGACCAGAAAAACTGCATCCTAACAAGACAGAAGACATTTAGATCATAATTGCTCTGCTCCAGCCAAACACCACGAAAAAAACTACAGTGCCTCCTTCTACTCCCCCAACAACACACACACACACACTAGCAAAGGCCAAGCAGATAGCCTATACTTCCAGTTTATAAGGCCATAAGTACGCATCTCCACATCCCAATTGGGCTAGTGTCAGAGAATGCCACGTCGGCCAAATAGGGAGCCATAATGGTGTCAGTAGGGCCCACCTAGAGAGCCTAGATATCCACTCCCATCAGGCAGTAATAGGGTGCTACTTACTCCTATTTCCCATTGGATGGTGTCACATGAGAACTTCTACCCCTATCCAGGGAGGTAAAAGTACATGGAAACACCAAAATTCCCACTGATCCAGTAGTCACTGCACCTAAGGAAAGAGCTCTGGTAAAATTCTAGACAAGAATCTTTGCATCTACAACCTAATACCATAGGGCTACAGTTCTCAAAGGCTGTGACTGACCTCTTAAAAAGTTCTCAGGACTTCAAAGAGCTTTTTGTTTATATCTATCAATATCGACCATATTGTAAATTAAAACTGAGAAACTTTTAAAACAAAGAACACACATGTACACCTTCTATAAATCCTCAGAGCAATGACTCTGAAATGAGACATTTCTCATAACCTCTGGAAAACTCCATTCGTTCATAGGTGAATGACGGTGAAAAAGGCAAATAACATCAGGCTGTTATTTTGAAACTGTTTGACTTTGTAGACCCTTTCAAAGAGTCTCATGGATCCTGGACCACTCTGCAAACTGCTTAGTATAGGGGATACTATAAGCAAATCCATGACACAGTGCCATAAATTATGAGGCATAGCTAGTAAGCAATTAAGTTAGAACAGAAGAGAAGAAGCCAACCATAGAATGACTAATAGATTTGATATTCAAAGTATGGTCCAAGGACCAGCAAATAGCATCTATATCTCCTGGGAATGTATTAGGTATCCAGAATCTCAGGCCCCTTCCTAAACCAAATGAATCAGAATCTTCATTTTTAACAAGACCTCAGGAGATTCGTAAGTGCATTAAAGTTTAAGAACTGTTGTAAACATTTTAAAACTTCAACTTTATCCTATCCGTAAGGCAATAAAGAACCTAATCATGATAAAACAAATACCATCTAAAAGGTATTTGTTAGATCAAATGTGAAGGACATTTAACCCAAACAAATGCCTAAAATAGTATTAGCATTATAGTCATAATTACATAATATTCAACATCTTTTTTTTTTTTTACAAATAAATGAATGTTAATTTTGAATCTCTTACACAAGTCAAAACTTGAAAATCCAACCTATTCCTCAAACTATTTAACAAGGGTCAATGTATATTAGTTTCAGCTTGTTGCTACCATAAATTCCCTAGAATATCACCATGCCATTATTTTCCCAAAAATTCCTTCTCTCCCACCCATCCTCTATTTCCTTTACATTTACCGAGCAGTAATTTATTTATTGTAGGAGAGCAAAGAGGACGCATTACCAATACTGTTTCATTAATGCCCAATAATGGTCTTGCAGTTAGCAGACACTCAGACATCAGCTGACTGATCTTAGTATTTTACCATGAAAAAAATGGCAGTTTTTCAAGTAAAACTCTGGGGAGGAGGTGCATATAGATAAATGTGGTTAAGCTTCTTACAATGAATGTGAGATTCTGTACTACACAGAAGATGGTGTGCTACATGATGACGATGTTTTTTATTTGCTGTGCTTGGCTTAGGATTTGCAGTTTGCTATTAGGTTGCCATGGTAACATGCATCTGACAGACACTGAAGGATCCTAGCTTTTAAAATAAAAATCACTTTGTAATTTAATGATAATGGATTTTTAAAAACACATATGAATGTCCTGAGAGTTAGATACAAGTTAAAACAGTAAAATTGTTTCCAAAAGGCTGAAGAGACATATAAATAGATGCAAAGAAAAATACTTCTAATATTCCGAAATACAAAAGGCAAAAAAAAAAAAAAAATCTCCTCTGAGATTTTCAATACATCCTTAAAGCTCTTCATTTGTTTATTTAGAATAAAAAAGTCAGAATTAAGGAACATATCTCCTCTCCCTCACTGGAGGCAAATCAGAGCAGAATAGTAACATATATACAACTATCAATAAAAAATAAGTTCAAGAAGGAAAAATCAATAACCAAGAGTTCATTGCAGCAAGTAAGTGAATAGGAAATTTGATAGATCAAATACACTTCAACAGGATTACATAAATTTCTCAATTTTAAATTTTATCATGAGCCATCTAATAATTCCTACTTCCCATTAATACCCAAGTAAGAACTAAGAGCAGTGAGAACAGATAGAACTGAAATTATCAACAGAAAATGTGGTAAAAATTAAAGGAAAATTGCTGCTACATCTGTATCGGCTGTAGACTGTTTACCTCATCTCCAATTCTGCCCCTCCCACCACCACCAACATACTAAATTCTGCATTAAACAATCTCATTTTTAATGTATGGAACTAATTAAGCACACTGCTTAGGGTATATCACAAAATCATAAGATGCAACATAACAAGTAATACAAATATTTAAGTGAAAAAAATTCCTAAGTCTATCAAACAATTCTAGATCTGCAAAACTGGAAAACAGCAAGCATAGCATCTCAGATAATAAAATCTGAAAACTCAGATTTGTTATATTTATTTATTTATTTAACACTCATATATGTTATTTTTAATAACATCCTTGTAGCCTCAACCTGGAGGACAAATAAGAGAGAGTGAATAGGGGCAAATAAGACCAGCCACTAAAGGGTGAGGGGGCAGTGCAGCAAAGCAGAGGCAGGATCAGGGATGAAAGGAACAGAAGAAACCAAGAGATGTAAAAGTATGGGTAAAGTGAGGGAGTAGCATTAATTTCGTTAAATATCTACTTACTACATGCTTAGCTTTTGAGATAAACGATTTATCTGCTTTGATCCTCAAAATCTTTATAAGTACTGCCCTTATTCTACAAAAAGGGATATTGAGACTCCAGGGGAAGACATTCTGCCCAGGCTTGTGTAGCTAAACCTTAGTAGAGGTCCATCTAAACCCAGGTTAGCCAAAACCCAAAGTCAAACCTCTTCAATGCCTAGATTCCTCCAGGCATAAACAACTGAGTTTGTTTATAGGCAGCAAAACTGGCTATTAATCTAGTCATCTTATCTATCTTTGTTAATGTATAAAACTACAAAAAGAATTCTATTGTGATGTGTCCTAATATTACTATTAAAACTTTGAGCTTTATAAAATCATTTTGTGTTTCACTTTTAGAAGCAGCCTTCACACAACGCTAAATGTCATTTTAAGTAGTGCAGGTTTGGAAAGAAAAGGGATAAATAATACATTTATTTTGCTTGGAAACACTGAGTTTGAAGTGCTCCTACGACATTGCGAAGGAGAGGTCAACAGGCGGTAAAATATGCTCAGCAGTAGGAGTGGATTTGGGAGTGGTACTAAGAAAGCTACAGAAATTATTTTGAATTTGGTCACCAGGGAAAGTATGTTAAGTGAGAAAAAAAATGTATCTCATTAACTAGTAAATGAGAATGGCAACATTAATATTAGTGACTATACCTGACCCTTAAGTACCTGGACTTACTAGTGAGTGAGTGTGTGTGTGTGTGTGTGTGTAGAGAACTGTGACAAGTAACTGTGTTTTAACTATAATGCATATCATTACGGTAAAATTTGAGTTGTTTATGGATTCCAGAAAATAAGTACAGCTTTGATTCACTTTTCTAACTTAAGTTTTAAAATAAGTCAAAATTTAGGCACGTTTTATATAAAATTCCACATCTAGACACTTAGTAAAATTAGCCTTTGGGGAATAAAAACTGGTTCTCACTTTAACAACCTTAATATACCATTTGTACTTACCCTGTTGCCAGGCTCAATATTAAATGATGTATAATTACTACAGATAGAGATAGGGCTATAAATACCCTCCTCCCACCACACACACACATATTTAAGAATCCTGCGGTTAGGTACTACAGCTATTTTCCTCCAATTACAGAATAAGAAGGAAAACTTAAGAGAGGTGATACCCAAAAGCTCTGGGTCTCCCAACACTCGCTCTCTTACATAAAAACATGTCTTTAAAGCAATGTTCTAGGGATCTCCCAATTTTCTGTACTCCTACCCATTCAGGAGAAGAAAATCTGAATACGTATTTCAGCATAAGATTATCACTCTGTATTTCACACAGTATTAGAGAATCAGATAAAGTAAATCTAAGCAGAAGTTCTAATACGTTCCCTTCCAACCACACACCCATGGAACTACTACCACACCTAATACCTGCAGGCCATTGCATAGGCTATTGGGTTTTTTTTGTTTTTGTTTTGCTACTGAATATTTTAAAAGACAGCAGCCATCTAAAAGTTAGGGAGTTTGGACTTTTTTTCTTCTTCTTTGAATATACATTCCGGTATAGCCTGTCTTTACAACACTCGCTTTTAATCTCCTACTCGTGAGATGCACAGGATAATGAGAGCTCGCGTAAATTCTGCCTTCCAAGGTTTACACACAAAATAGCGGCTCTTTCCAGGAATTACCACAGTATTCTCTCAAGTCTTATTGGTCCTGCAGCCGTTTCTCTGGAGTCTTGGGTGCCACAATTCCCAGTCGGGATTCCTCTCCAGCTCGTTCCCACCAGAAAAAGAGGGAACAGAAATGCCACCACGCAACCTCCACACGAGTTTTAATTTTCTTCTAGATGATACAATCTGCGTTGTCATGACGCTGGGGCTCGACATCAAATCCAGCCTAAGTGCTCATCGCCTACATCTCCTCGACAGACTAAGTTGCAGCCGCCGAGGGAGCGATTCGCTCTGAGAGCCGGATGTCCGACCCCCCTCCCCCACCATCCCGACCCCCCTCCCCCCCATCCCGTCCCCTCAGGCGGCGACTCCGAGCCGAGGGCCGCCCGCGGCCGGGCGCCGGGTCCCACAGCCCCGCAGAGCCCGAGGAGGGGCCCACAGCGGCCACGAGCAAGTTTCCCGCGGTTCAGGGGACCCGTGTGCCCCGCAGAGACAGCCCGAAGATCCCGGCCGGCGGACCCGTCCGCTCCGGCCCGCGGGGACACCCGGGGCGCCGCCGCCGCCGCCGCTCCGGTGCCCGAGCCAACACCAGGTGGGCTGGGGGGCGCCGGCCGACGGGGCAGCTCCAGGGGACGGTTCCGGAGCCGGGGGGAGCGACAGCGCGCGCCCTCACCTTACCTCGAACAAGTCCAAGTCTCCCCGAGGAACCGGACCGGCGCGGCTGTGGCGCTGCGGCGGGGCGCTGAGGGCACCGTGGGGCGTCTCGGCCTCGGCCGGCCGCCGTTGGCCGCGGGGAATCGCGCGCCCGCGGCGGGAGGAGGCAGGAGGAGGCAGGAGGAGGCAGGAGGCTGGCTGCCCCGGCGCCCACCGCGGGACGCTCCGCGCCTGCGCCCCGCCCCCCCTCCCGCTGGGGCTCAGCCGGCGCGTGCGCGGTTCGGAGTTTTCGCGCCACTAGAGCCCAGGGGGAGGGGCCGGAAGTGCCCTTCTGCGGACGGGGAAGCGGGTAGGCACGCGGGGCTCGGCGTCGGCGGGACGCGCGGGGCCGACTGATTTGCCTAAGCGAAAGGGAAGACGAGTCGGAGTAGCCCGGCAACAGTTCCAAGCATGCGTAGAGCCGACCGGGTGGGCGCTGGGAAAGCCTGGCGAGAGAGCGCGGTCGGGAGAGGGGACGGTTACTTCCCGGAAGAGGCGGGGCCACGTGGGGAGGCGCCGAATTAGAAGCGCGCCCCGCGACTGCCCGCGTCGGGGTGCTGCGCCCCAAACGTTGGCCTTTGCTTAGGGCATTTTTTTTTTTTAGAGAAAGTGTGTAAACCTGGAGGCAGCAATTGTTAGGATTCGGGCCAAAGTGGTAAATGACGGAGGGGGCGTCTTCCAAAACCGAGGAGAGAGGGTTGTCCGGGTAAGTCCCGCGGAGCGTGCGGAGGCGGCCCTGCCCGCCTGGCCCCGCCGCTCCTCGCTCGCCCCTCTCCGCTGAGGCCGGTGCGCCCTGGACGTCCTCCTCCCGGGCGCACTATGGGGCGGCCCCCGACGTCCTCCTCCCGAGCGCACCGTGGAGCTACCCCTAGACGTCCTCCTCCCGGGCATACTGTGGGGCGGCCCCCGGACGTCCTCCTCCCGGGTACACGGTGGGGGCGGCCCCCGGACGTCCTCCTCCCGGGTACACGGTGGGGGCGGCCCCCGGACGTCCTCCTCCCGGGCACACTGTGGGGCGGCCCCCGGACGTCCTCCTCCCGGGCACCCTGTGGGGCGGCCCCCGGACGTCCTCCTCCCGGGCACCCTGTGGGGCGGCCCCCGGACGTCCTCCTCCCGGGCACCCTGTGGGGCGGCCCCCGGACGTCCTCCTCCCGGGCACACTGTGGGGCGGCCCCCGGACGTCCTCCTCCCGGGCACCCTGTGGGGCGGCCCCCGGACGTCCTCCTCCCGGGCACACTGTGGGGCGAATGCCCACACCCTATTCCACGCCCAAGCGGACGTAGTCACACTGGGGTTTTCCTTTTTTCATGATGTGCTCTGAAAATACTTGCATGATAGCAGTTACCTTAAGGCATTGTGGTTGGTTACAGCCTTTAACCACGGTGGCCTTGTAACCACCCCTCCTCCCCAAGAAATATCGGAAGTAATGAGGTTCTAAGTTTCTTGGCGTAGTTTTCAGTGCTGTAGTCGCCCAGACATTAACCTGCCTCTTCTGCCTTTACACAGCTCCTCAAGTGATTACGTTGATCTAGTCAAATATTCTACCTCCTATGTTCCGCAGCCTTCCCTTAGCGGATGGGAAAAAGTGGCATTTACCGCTAACTCCGCTTCACCCCCAAATAGAGGACATTTCTGGGCTCCAGCAATGGAATTCTTCCATCGAAGTCACCTTTTGCTTCTAAAGATAATCAAATGTATATTGTTCCCATTGTGGCCCTTGCCATGGCACAATGAAAAGTAGGACCTGGTCAAACTAGACTAGGACACTGCAATATCTGGTCTCAATGGTTCCTCCTTGGTAAACAATGGGAAACGGTTGGGTGGTTTCTGCTCAGATGTCACTTCCTTTAGGAAGCCTTCCTTGATGCCCAATGTTGGGTGAGGTACGTAGTCTATTTACTTCTATAGCTCGCTCATGGTACCTCTGCCTGTCCTTGTCACGTTGTTGTAATTCTCTTTTCACCTCTAGTTTCACTTGCCCTACTAAAACCCTTAAATGAAGGGATTTATCTCTCCTTATTGTTTCTAGCATCTAGAGTGCCTGGTACACAATAAGCATTTAATAAATATTTAATGATAATTTAAGTCTGAGGTATGTTATGCTTCAAAGTCTACACTAAATTCATAGGAAAATAAAACTGAAGAAATAATTTAAAAAACAGCATTAATTAGTGAAATTATGTGGAAATCCCATACAATCCAGTCTTGTACTGAAATAAACCATTTACCGATGTTTATATGAAAACATAGTCTTGGGAATTGGGAAATTTAAAATGTTTCACTTTATCATTAAACAGTTTTTTCCTAATGTTTTTGCTTAAAACTGAAATAAAATTGGAAAACTGTTGGTTTAATAAAATGTGTATTTTTGCATAAATCAATCCACTGACCTCTTTTTATGTTCTTTAAAATTTGATTCATTACTGGAATTAGCAAGGTTCTGTGTTTTTCTCACCTCATTCAGTTTTATAATTAACCAATAAAAGCTTATTAGCTTTTAAGGAAGTTTTAGGAGCATAAATTGATTTATGGGCACCATATGGTTACATCAAAGGATTTGTTTTGTTTTAACCTGAAGTGGATTCCTGAGCCCTTTTTTTAAACTAGAAATTCATATTCTTTCTGTCAAGCAGTAGGATCTAGAATAGAGTGTTTTTATTTTAGTACAAACTACCAAAATTGTTCATGAAATTCAGAGACTATCAGAATCTTAGGATTCATTTGGTGTAGTACCTCTCATTTTGTAGATGGGTTAAATGTCTTTCCAAGGTCATACAGCTTCAGTATTACATCCAAGACCAACATCCTAGTTTTCCATCCCAAGACAAGCGCTTTTCAGTAAACTAAATAAATTGAATACACTAATAGATTAGAAAGTTACTTACTGTGGGTTGTTCTGACTTTGTTGATTTACATTAAGTATTGTGCTGCATTAATTCTTAAAAATTGTTACTATGTTAACGAGACTTTATATGTAATCTATATTGGCTGCAATACAGATTGATGTCAATAAAACTATGACATTATAAAAGATGGGAACAGAGACTCACCATGTCCCACACCACAAATTTTTCAAATTAAGCAAGAAAAAATTATACATAGTTGTGAGTTTGATATATGTTGTATTTAAATTTTACTTAGTGTTGAGCTAGTTTCAAGTAACCTCATCAGGTTGATCATGACCTCATTCAAAAACCATCTGTTCTGTCTCTGAGTGTAGTTGTACTTGAATATCTTAAAAGTTGTTGGATTCTGTCCCTTTTGGAACTTTATAGCCTTTTATCATCTTACCGTTGCAACTTAATGTTCAGAGGAAGCGCTGGAGCAAAGAAAGTGGCATGGAGTGGAGAACTATAGACCGTGGGAATAGACATTTTGGATTAACTTCATTCTTAAAACATGGTGTTATTTTTCATAAAATACACATTTCACATAATTTTCCTCTTTCTGGTCTATTGGGATATTCTTTATGCTGCTTTTAGGAGTGATCTTCAAAAGGAACATGCATTTTAAACTTAACCAGTTTAGATAGTAGATCTAATGACGATAATCCTAAAATAAGATTTTAAAATAATGGATTACATGTCAAACACTTAGGTAGTTTTACTTTTTATTTATTTATTTTTGTGTGTGTGTTTTATAACTGGCTATAAGATAGCACCGTAAGTGAAGAAGTAAATTAACATGTGACAAACAGGAAGGTGATTTAATGTTTTAGGTTTTTAAACAGGATCACTCTGGCTTCTTTGAGGAGAACAGTTGTGTGGGAGAGGAGAGTAGTAAAAAGAAGCAGGGAGGCCAGTTGGGAGACTGTTACTTATATACAGGCAATGCCAGGGGATTTTCATTAGCAATGGGGATTTCAGGGGCACCAGGGTGGCTCAGTGGTTGAGCATCTACCTTTGGCTCAAGTCGTGGTCCCGGGGTCCTGGGATCAAGTCTCCCATCGGGCTCCCCAGAGAGAGCCTGCTCTTCCCTCTGCCTATGTCTCTGCCTCTTTATATCTCTCATGAATAAATACATAAAGTCTTTTTTAAAAAATGAGGATTTCAGATATATTTTGAAGGTAGAGGATTTGCTGGTAGAGTGGGTATTGGGGAGCAAAGTAAAGAATCAAGGAGGACTGCTGAGTTTTTGGTCTAAGCAACTGGAAATCAGAGTTTTAAGGAGAGGTGGTGGAATCAAGAGTTAAATGCATATTATGCATCCACATGAAGGCAAAGTAGGCAAATAATTCTAGTTAAGTGCCCACAGGAGATGGCAGATGAAGTGGGATAAATAATATTAGGGAGAATGGAGAAGAGTTCACTATAGTCTTCAAAGAAGACTCAGCAATAATGTGCTTTCTATTGTAGTCTGCCTCTGCCTCTAAAAATACTCTTCCTATAATTCCTTCTGCTCACTTTCCAATTCCCATGCCCACCACCTACACCTTTTTAATATGTTGTTTGGCATTGTTCTAATTCATTATTTTTTAGTTAAAAGTAGTGAAAGCTTTATAAAGCCTTGTAATTCAAGAAGGTCTAATAGTTCATTCAAGTTACTCAGAGAAAAAGATTCTTTGGGGCATGTCATAGAAGCTAGCTCCTATAAGATGTCCCCTTGATTCCTATCATTCAGAGAAAAGTGGAAAAAATAGCACAGTTCACAGTAGCAACAATTCTACGCTAATGAAAGAAACTGAGGCAAGCATTACTATTTAATAGGTGTGCACTTGGGGAGCAGAAGAGAGACTCCCATCTTTTTCAAATCCATCTCAATAGATACACGGAGACTGTAAGGTGAAGTCTCAAAGTTGTTCTAAAAGCTTTGAGATAGATTTTTAAAATATAGTGACCAAAAAGATTGGCAAGGAAAGAGACAGTTTTCTGGAAAATACCACATAACTCAGGAAAAGTGGAGGAAAAAAACACTTTAGCTCAGAGACAGTAGCTCAAATTTTGCTGTCTGGGAACCAATAGATAATTGTTACTTTTCTTTTTGCCTACATTGTTCATAACAGTTGTGTTTAAGTAGGTATTGTTACAACTTTGTAGTGTTCCCTCACATTTTAATAAAGGAATAGCCAAAATAGATGCCCCAGATAGACACTACTTACAACTGTTCAACTACCAGTGCTGGTTGTTTTGTAACATAACTGTGGATTCTTTAAACCAGGTTTATTCTGACAAAAGA